AAGCAGGCAGCGAGAGTTGGAGAAAGGGGCAAGGCGGGCAGTATGTGCACAAGCAGGAGGTGAGGCAGGAAGATGATGAGGGAGGGAGATGATGAGGCAGGGAGATGATGAGGGAGGGAGATGATGAGGGAGGGAGGTGATGAGGCAGGGAGGTGATGAGGCAGGGAGGTGATGAGGCAGGGAGATGATGAGGGAGGGAGAGAAAAGCAGTCTTGGAGAAAAGCAGTCTCGAAGCCCAACATCTTGATCCATACGTCTCCAAGGCCAATTTACATCTTGAGCCATTGACAATTGTAGTGAGTGCGGCTAAAAACCAAGGGCTCCTTCTCACCTTCTCCCCCCACACTCCGCTTTCTTCCCCTCTTTCCCTCCCCCCTTTCTCCCCCTTCCACAGGAGACGTTGATGGAGTGCGTCCGACAGAACCTGGGCTTCAGCCGCGGCCGGCCGGTGATGGCGTGCATTGTGTACAAGGCGATGGTGCACTGGAGCATGATCGAGGTGGAGCAATCTAGGGCTCATCTGCACCCTCTCCCCACCCTCTTCTTCCTCCGTCTCCCCCTCCTCCCGCAACAGGAGACGTTGATGGAGTGCGTCCGACAAAACCTGGGCTTCAGCCGGGGCCGGCCAGTAATGGCATGCATTGTGTACAAGGCGATGGTGCACTGGAGCATGATCGAGGTGGAGCGCATGAACACGTTTGACAAGCTGATGGAGCACATGCAGGCCGTGTGCAAGGCGGATAACAACGACTTGAGGTGTTACTGGCTGTCGAACACTGTTCATCTGCACTTCCTGGTGAGTTGAAGTGAATAATGGGATGGGGACAGGGAAGGGAGGGTTGGGATGAACACGTTCGACAAGCTGATGGAGCACATGCAGGCCGTGTGCAAGGCGGACACCAACGACTTGAGGTGTTACTGGCTGTCGAATACCGTGCACCTGCACTTCCTAGTGTGTTGAATGGTGGGCTAAAGGAGTCTGGATTGAATGGTGAACACTAGAAGGTGGGAAGTTGGGGGTGCGCTGGAGCATGATTGATGCGAACTGGGTGAAAAAATCTGATAACCACTCTCCACCACCCCCCACCACTCCCCAACCCTCCCCACCCGTCAGAACACCCGAGGACCAAGTCGCATGGACAACACGGTGGCCAAGTCGCAGCTGGGAGTGCAGATCGAGAAGCTCTATGTGGTGACGCGCGACGCCATGAAGCACCGCATCTCACTGCTGCTCAACGACCTGCTGCAGGTATGAGTGTGACTACAGAAGAGTGACAATAGGAGAGTGCAACTATGTGGCAAGAAGGAACAGTGGTGCATTCAAAGGGTCCCATGAAGCACCGCATGTCACTGCTGCTCAACGACCTGCTGCAGGTATGAGTGTGACTACAGAAGAGTGACAATAGGAGAGTGCAACTATGTGGCAAGAAGGAACAGTGGTGCATTCAAAGGGTCCCATGAAGCACCGCATGTCACTGCTGCTCAACGACCTGCTGCAGGTATGTGACAAAAAGAGTGTGACCAAGAGTGTAGGTCTGTGTATGTGTTACGCCATTAGTCCAAAGGCCCTGAATCCGGCTCTGTAGTGAGCGGCACCTCTACCGTGTTGGTGCACAAGCTGGTGCCATGCCAACCCCCTCTCTGCTACCCCCCCTCCCCATCCCTGACTCCTGCTCGGCAGTCAGCGGCGCCTCTACCGTGTCGGTGCACAAGCTGGTGCCAACTCCCTCTCTGGTTACCCCCCCTCCCCATCTTTTCCCCTCCCCCCTGGTGCCACCAGGCCCCTCCGGTGAATGTAGAGGAGCCGGGCTACGAGTTCCCCGACTCTGGGTCTGCAATCAGCATCGACCGTGTCGGTTCACAAGCTGGTGCTGACGCCGGGCAACGTAAGGCGCCAGATGACGATGTTCTGGGAGAGTAGAGAAGAGTAACGGACGTCTCACCCTGTCTTCCCCACGCTCCTCCTGTTCCATCCCTCATTCCCTGATCCCCTGCCAGCCCCCTCCTGTGAATGTGGAGGAGCCAGGCTACGACTTCCCCGACTCTGGTTCAGCCATCAGCGGCGCGTCGACTGTGTCAGTGCACAAGCTGGTGCCGACGCCGGGCAATGTGCGGCGGCAGATGACGATGTTCTGGGAGGGGCTGATGGGGGCTTTAAGGTGCTTCGTGGACGAGTGCCGAGGGAACTACGTGCCGCCGCTGCTGGTGCGCGAGTTCATGGCGCAGCTGCTGCAATACGTGGACGTCAAGCTCTTCAACAGGTACGCCTAAGAAACGCCCAACACCGCACAAAACCGTTCTGCATTGCCCAAACTGCACACCCCACGTGTGCTGCTGGTGAACGAGTTCATGGCGCAGCTGCTGCATCAGTTTGGCGAGTTTGTTTCACTAATGGGAGTTTGTTTCACTAATGGTAACCCTCTTCGTCCATGCTCGCAACCCTATGTGTTTCCCTCTTCGCCCGCAGCGTGATGATGCACTGCCCGTGGGTGCCGTGCACATTCACGAATGGCGAAACGATGGAGGCCGGGATGAGCGATTTGGAGGATTGGCTTGGGAATGTGGACGAATGGCTGGACGCCACGCTGGTGGACACCATCAGCCTCACATCGTCGCTCATCGAGAACATCAAGCACATTCGGCAAACCGTTGGGTTCCTGGTGAGTGTGGCTGGCTGTGTACAAAAGATGTATAAAATACAGTAAAACGTGGAACGTTTCATTCCCATATTGCTGATATCTCCCATTCTTCCTTCTGGTGTGTGTTATTGTACACATTGACAGGCCTGGGTGTGGCTTGCAGCTGAATAATTCTCCCACCCACCTCTTCCATCCTCCCCTTCCCCCCTCCCATTTCCCTTGTTCCCTGTTACCCTTTCATATTCCCCCATTTTTCTCATGCGATGAGAAAAAGCCCGCCCGCAAGCTGCAGCACATTCAGCGCATGTGCCCTGACCTGAGCACACCAGCTGGCTAGTGCTCCCAACACCCTCCTATTCAGCTGGACTCACCTCTTACCAACACCCCTCATTCCCTCATCCCCCCCTCTCACCCCCTTCCCCACCCCCCCATTCAGCTGGACGAGAGCAAGCCGGGGCGCAAGCTGCAGCACATTCAGCGCATGTGCCCCGACCTGAGCGTGACCCAGCTGCCTAATGTTCCCACCCCACCTCTTACCAACGCCCCTCCGTTCCCTTCCCCCCTCTCCCCTCTATTCAGCTGGACGAGAGCAAGCCGGGGCGCAAGCTGCAGCACATTCAGCGCATGTGCCCCGACCTGAGTGTGACCCAGCTGGCACACATCTGCACGTGGTTTGAGGACGACAAGGACGGGTCGCCAGGCGTGGACCCAGCGGTGATTGAGCAGATGTGGGCACTGATGACCGAAGATGCTCCCTTCCTGCTCAAGGAGGACAAGAGGTAAGCGATTCAAGGATCACTTATGTGACTGGCGTTTGACTTTCTATGGTTTTTAGAGGACTTCAAATTCACTTCCCTTACTTCCAGGAAAAGGCAATAAGTGAGCGAGTTTGTGACTTTCTCCAGCGCATTTCCAACGAATGAAATGTATTATCAATCCACCTGCACCCAACACATGCGCTTCCCTCGCGCTCGCAGCTGCCCGCGTTCCAAACGGACGAGGTGTCTTGCTCCATGAAGGAATTGGTCTTGGACGATATCGACCCACCCGCAGCGCTGCACAACGATCTTCCCCCCCTCATGCTCGTGCTGCTCCCTGCCTGCTCCCCCTCCCGTCCCCACCCCCCCCTACCAGCTGCCCGTTCCAAACGGACGAGGTATCTCGCTCCATGAAGGAATTCGTCTTGGACGACATCGATCCGCCTGCAGCGCTGCGAAGCGAGCCGGCCTTCTACTTCCTCATCCCCGCGCAGCAGCGCCAGCAGGAGCAGCTGCAGGCTGCTGGGCTTGTTGGTTCAAGTGTTGCTGGGGATCCCCGCAGGAGGCTGGCTATGTAGAGTGCTTGTTGGGGAAAAGGTCTTCCACTTCCTCATCCCCATGCAGCAGTGCCAGCAGGAGCAGCTGCAGGCTGCTGGGCTTGTTGCTGCTGGTGGCGGGCCCAGTGGTCGTGGCAATGTCGCTATAAAATCCCCACCGGAGACATGCGATGTAGACTTGTGGAAGTTTCAGAGTGTAGTGGCTACACGATGGTGTGCCTTGGGAACCCCCTTTGCTTCGTCGTCTCTGTTTAGCAGCACCAGCAGGAGCAACTTCGTGCGGGGGGGGGGCTTGTTTGGTGGTCCGTATGGTTACAGAGTTGCATAATGGCATCACGCCGTAGCATCTATCTTTAGTGTTATAGCGGTGGATTCATGAGGGTCTTGGGTGTTCTTTAGTGGTGCAATGTTTTCCCATGTTGTAAGCGAGGGTAGAGGGGAATAAGGTATAAAATACAGTGTGGAATGCGGGTTTTGGTTTCTTTTTCAGTCATGTTATGCCTTGTGTCATGTGTTTTTATAGTTCTGTTATGCTCGCATTATACAGCGTGGTGGCTGACACGCGGAAAATGGATGGAATGCGATTGCTTGACGCGTCACACTTTAGCGTAATTCCAAAGTGGCAACGGCAACAAACTTCTGGCGTCATCAGGGCTGGATCCATCTTGTTCCACGTCATCTTCCTCGTGTGATCTGTCATCCGACATTCCCTTCTCCAATCACCTCTTCCTTCCGTATCACCACTTGCCACGCCATCTCCACCCTCTCCCACCTCTCCAGCCCAATGCTGGTAACCCGAAATCAAGAATCTAGGTTTCAGAATCCAGACTCTTCAGCATTCCAGCACCTAGATAACTTCAGGACAGACTCGTTGTTTCAGGCAGTCTGGATTTTGGCAACATTGTTCAGTGACACAGATTAATTTAGCCAGTCAGGAAACTAGGTCCTATAAGGTCCTGGGCGTTAGAGCGAGGAGTGAGAGTAGCGGTGGTGACCGTAGCGCTGGTCAGAAGATTCTTTCTTGCTCCGGTCTTGGTGGCTGAGCTATGGCGTCCGTGACGTCCCTCCCCGCAGCTCTAACCATTGCTGCTGGCGTGTCCGCTTCGCTCCCCGCCTCCTCCCTCTCCCACACTCCCACCCCCTCGTCGTCGACTCGCATTGCCTCGCTAAAATGCCGAGCCGAGGCGCGAAAGGATGACGTTACTTCTCAACCCGCTGACGTGGCAAAATGGCTCGGCACGGCCGCGGTGACCCTATCCGCCACGGCAGCGCTTTTCTGCGGCTCCGTCGACCCCGCATTCGCCGACGTGGAATTGAAAACGTACTACGGCACAGCTGCCAGCGCGTCGTCCTATGGCGGGTACGGCGGGAACGCGAGCAAGCAGGCGACGGCGGAGTATATTTACGGCGTTCCTGACGAGTGGAAGGAGCGCGCGATCTCCAAGGTGGAGAAGGGTACCAATGGCACGGACAGCGAGTTCTTCTGGCCGAAGAACCGCAACGTGAAGACCTACGTCACCTTCCTCGCTGGTAAGTTTTTGAGACGTTTCAGAATCTCAAGGTGGGCAAGGGGACCGACGTCAGGGACAGCGAGTTCTTCTGGCCGAAGAACCGCAATGTGAAGACTTACGTCACCTTCCTCGCTGGTAAGTTTTTTAGATGTCTGGGGGGTGGAAGGAGCGCGCGATTTCAAAGGTGGAGAAGGGAACCAACGGCACGGACAGTGAGTAATTTTGGCTGAAGACTTACGTCACCTTCCTCGCCGGTGACTTTCGAGGGGTCGTGAAGTTTTGACGGAGGTGGAGAAGGGTTCCAATGGCGAGTTGTTCTGGCCCAAGAACCGCAATGTGAAGACTTTACATTCCTCGCCGGTGAGTCGTGAGACGTCTCAGAATTGGAAGGAACGTGCAATCTTGAAGAAAGAAAGCAATCAGCGGCACGGACAACGAGTCCTTCTGGCCCCACGAATCGCAACGTGCTGAACGGCAGTGCTCTGTCTGTCGGACGTCTGTTGAGCCCCATAACGGAAACTCCTGCAAATTGCGTGTCAAAACGTCCACTTCCGTCCCGCAATCATTTTCCGCCTCCCTCCCCCCTCTCCGTCATTCCGCTCCCCCTGTTCCCTCGTGCGCCAGGCTTCCGCCGTCTTCCCCCGCAGGACAACGTGTTGAGCGACATCGCTCTCTCTGACGTCAACCTGCAGGTGCGTGGGACCGCCTGACCATGACAGAAAAAAAATAAAAAATGTATTGGAAGTAAAGTATATTGAAGTGCCTAAGACAACGTGTTGAGCAACATCGCTCTCTCTGACGTCAACCTACAGGTGCGTGGGATCGTCTGACTGGGATTGAATCTTAGCTCAGTAGATGTGACTAATTCTGAGGTGCCTAAGACAAGTTTTGGGATGCCTCAAAACCCGTTGAATTGAAAGAAGTATTCTTGAGGCGCCTGAAACAACTGGCTAAACGTCATTCCTCTGTCAGGCAGGACCCAACATGCAGGTTGATGGGTCGTCTTGAGTTTCGAGGCTCTTTCGTGCAATTGTTACTTGTTCATTTGAACGACGTCAACCTTGGACAGGAAGGGATGGGGCTGGTGAAAGGCTTGGGGAGGAGAGATGGGGAAGAGGTGGTGTGGTGCGGTTGAATGGAGATTAACGAGTGGACCCTGGTAAGATGGTTGGAAGGTTGGTTGGATGCATAGGTGGCAATTGAGGGACAAGTCGCCCGAATTCCTTCCAAGAAAAAAATAAAAGTGATTTCAATAAGGCTGGTCGGATGGTTGGAAGGTTGGATTGGATGCATAGGTGGCAATTGAGGTGAAGTCGCCAGAGGCCCTTTCCACCACATTCTCCCCTCTCCCTTTCCTCAACCTCCCCACGTCTTGCATGATTGTTTTCTGTCAGCGGACGAGATCAAGCAGGGGCAGCACCAAAATCCCCTTCAACGACCCTTAGGCCTCACTCCCCCACCCACCGCCACCCCCGTCCCCCCGTTCCCCCCTCCGGCCCTGCTTGGAGGATTTGATTCTGTCGGCGGACGAGATAAAGCAGGGGCAGCACCGGGGCGCGGGCAGCAACCAGCTGTACTACGACTTTGAGATCGACAGCCCGCTGGGCCACGCCCTCATTACAGTCACACATGCGCCCCACCCCAACCCATCCTCACCTGCAGGACTCGCTTCAGCAGACGGGATGAAGCGGGTGCTGCAGCAAGATCCCCTTTTAACAGCCCCTGGGCCTCCCCCCCCAACCCCCGCCCCCGTCCCCCCTCCTCCCTCCCTTTTTAATGCAGGATTTGATTCAGACAGCGGACGAGATCAAGCAGGGGCAGCACCGGGACGCGGAGAGCAACCAGCTGTACTACGACTTTGAGATCGACAGCCCGCTGGGCCACGCCCTCATTACAGTCACCGCCGCCAAGAACAAGCTCTACGCTCACTTTGTCAACGCTCCGGATAAATTCTGGAAAACGTATGTCGGCCACACCTTGCCTCACTGGTTTCCCCTTTCCTCTGCCTGCTTCTGAGCGTTGCCAAGAACAAGCTCTACGCCCACTTTGTCAACGCACCGGATAAATTCTGGAAAACGTATGTATCCGTCCCCCCCCCCTTTTTTGTTTTTTAGTTATTATTATTTAAATCTTGCCATCTTTCTACTCCGCCCCCGGATAAATTCCGGAAGACGTAAGTACTCATCCTTCCGCATCTCTTGCCATCTTTCCACTCCGCCCTTTGCTGTCCACGGCTTGCTGTCCCCCTTTATTCTCTGCCTGTGTTTGACTAAAGCTAAGAACAAGCTCTACGTACTCTTGTGGAACCCCTTAAAAGCCAGACTCAAAATTCTTACTGTGTCTTCACATCCTCTCTCCACATTCTCAAAATTCCCCATCCCCTCTCTCCACTCGGTACACACATCTCCACACACCCAGGAACGAGGCATTGCTCCGGCAGATGGAGCTGTTTCAAACGCCGGCAGGAACTCTCTGGGCCCATCCTTTCTTTTCGGTCCTCTCCCTCTCCCTCTCTTCCCGCCTCCATTCCCACTCCCACTCCCCATCGTCGCACTCCCAGGGACGAGTCATTGCTTCTGCAGATTCAGACCTCGGTCAAGACTGTCGGTAGGGACCCACTTGAGAGCACCCCTTTTATTCCTGTCATCCCCCCCTCCCACACCCACATCCCCACTCTCCCCTCTCCACACTCCCAGGGACGAGGCGTTGCTGCGGCAGATTCAGACCTCGTTCAAGACCGTCGGTAGGGACCCACTTGCCCCACCGGATGTCTACTAGAGCCCTTGGAGGAGTCAACCGTACTGTGCTCGAGGCCAAATTCTTTTGAGGCGCCTCAAAAGTCGTCGGCAGGGACCCACTTGCCCCACCGGATTGAAGGAGTCAATCAACCCTGCTGTGCTAGAGGCCAAATTCCAGAGGCAAAATCTACTGGCCGAGTCAAACCCTTACTTCCTGAGGGAACAGACAACCATCTTACGGTAGCAAATTTTGCTCAGAAGTGTGCAGCGTGAATGTCTAGGGATAGTGAAGATTACTGTACAAGGATGTATCGTGTTGCGTATATGCTGGATGTGAGAGATGCCCGGATGGCCAGATGCCAAAATACACATCATTGCAAGCAACCCATCACTGGTATGCTGGACTGCCCAGTGACAGGTACTGGTACCGTATGTGATTCTGAGCCAGTCTCTCCTCTCCTCTGATTACAGCCAGCCCACACCACCCAGAAACAAGGGCCGTCTGTTTTCCGGATTCAATTCATACAAAATTGGATCCGCTGAATAGCTACATCCCAGCTAAACATTATCAGTTAATCCTCTTAACCAATCTCTCCACTTGCTTCATCATAGATACAGCTAAGGTAACGTAGGCTGGCTCATTATTAAGATGCATCCACCCCTGACCTAAAAATCAGCCTCCTTTTCTACTTGGCTCAAAGATCACCTTGTTACGGGTCACATCACAACACCTCCTCCAGTACCTGTCCCTTCCTCCTCTTCTATCTCCGTCCTCCTCTCCTCTTCTATCTCCTTCCTCCTCTCCTCTTCTATCTCCTTCCTCCTCCTCCTCTCTCCTTCCTCCTCTCCTCCTCTCTCCTTCCTCCTCTCCTCATCTCTCCTTCCTCCTCTCCTCCTCTCTCCTTACTCCTCTCCTCCTCTCCTCCTCTCTCCTTACTTCTCTCCTCCTCTCTTCCTCTCTCCTCCCTCCTCTCCTCTCTCCTTCCTCCTCTCCTCTCTCCTTCCTCCTCTCCTCCACCTCGTCTCCTCTCTTTCACCATCTCCTCTCTTTTTCTCTACTCTCTCCCCTCCACAATTTCTCCTCCTCCTCCTCCTCCTCCTCCTCCTCCCCATCCCTACCACAACCACACTCGCCATTGCCACGTCAGCATGCCCATGCATCTCCACGCCATCCCATCACCACTCAAGATGAACCAACCTCTTCTCTTGCCCTCCTCCTCTTCCTGCATCAGCTCGCCTCCACCCATACATGCCACGTCCCCTCCAATCGTGCCACGCCAGCTGGCATTTCAACATCTTAAAATTTCAGCCTCCGTATACCTAACATCACCCACTAATCCACATCATCACCGCTTGATGTTTAGCAATTCCTTAGCCTCCTCCTCCTCCTGCACAAGCACCGTGCTCGCGTACTTACTTAAGAGCTCCGCCTTCTTTTTCGCCACCACCATTCGCTCAATCTCCTTCTCATCAGGCAGCGGCACGTGCGCCACGAACCGCCGCCCGCCCACCGCATCCAGCGCCGCCTCTTCCGCCGCGTCTAACGCCGCCTCCTCGCGCCTCGCGCGCTCCGCCGCTTCCTCGCGATCCTCTTCCGTTTCCTCCTCGTCCGCTTCCCCTCTCTCTTGGGCCACGATCCCGCGTCGCTCCCGCGATTCCCGGGTCTCGATCGGCGCTCCGAGCTCGTCTAGCAGATCCGTCTGAACCCGGATCGAAGCTTCCTCCCCGCTTTTCACGGCGCGGCGTGCCTCGGCTTTAACCGCTTCGAGCGCCTCCCACTCTCGCACCGACTTCTCTATAATCTCCCGCTCAGCCTCCGTCTCGAGCCGCACCAAGATCCCGTCCTCCTCGTCCCTGTACCCGTAATAGTCCATATCGATACGCTTATAAAGCTCGTACCGATTCCGCTTCTTAGTCGGCGCCGTTGGCTTCTCGAACAGCTCGCGAACGCCCGGCAGGTTCTTCGCAGCGCCGAAGTAACGGTAACCAAACCCCTTGCCGGTCGCGGAGCCGGCCGGCAGCTCGTCGTCTCCATCGCCGACTTCTTTACCGTCCGCGTCAGTTATCTTGGGCCCTTGTTTCGCGTAATTCGGGCCGCCAAGCTCAACTATCCGTTTCTCCCAGTGCCCTTTCTCCCGTATGAGCTTATTGATCTCGTCGTTAAGATCCTTAAGTCGGTGCTCGCCTAACCCTGGGTTCTGAATCTCTGTTACTCGCCGTCCGATCTCGCGCAAGATCTGCTGCCGCCACTTGTCGGCGTCTGATAGGTCGCGGCATTCGGACGCGAGGAACGGGCGCTTCTCCCGCGGCTTGCGCTTCTCGTCCTGCTTCGCGGCCCAGAAGCGATTAAGCACGGCGTTCGCCTTCTCCTCGTTACGCGCCATGGCTGCGAGCGATGCGAGGCGGCACCAAGAAGATGAATGGCGACCCAGCAAAGGTAGTTCTCCGAATCGGCATCTGGATACTTAATAAAACATTCCACCACCGAAATCAGCCGCCCTAGCTCAGTTGGTAGAGCGCAAGGCTCTTAACCTTGTGGTCGTGGGTTCGAGCCCCACGGGCGGCGCTGAACCCTTCAGGGTCCCGACTTTTGGCCATCAAGCCTTCCCCCGAATGGGGTAACGTTTTAGCGAGCAAGCGAGAATGACTTTCCAGTCGCCGACCCGTTCTCGCCGCTCTGCATTTGTTACGCCGTTCCAGTCGAGGAGATCCCAAGGTTGGTTCCATTTTCTCACGTTTTGGGTTGGGTCTGGTCTGGCCCGAGTAGTTCAACTGCTGCTGCTGCTCGCCTGGCCTCGCTGCTGGTCTTCCTTCTGGAATCTCAGAAGCTCGGCTCAGTTAAAAAAATTCCCCGTCTCTCTGATCTGATCGGGCTAACCGCTGCGTATAATACTTGTTCTCGGCGCGCGACTCGCGGTTTACGCGTGAAGTTTGAAATTGCTGCTTCATTCATTAATCTCTGCATAATACTCGTTAGAAACTCCAGGTTTATGCTCGCTGCGTATGCGCCATCTACCCTGATCACCAGGGCCTGAGAGCGCTGTCGTTTCAACAATCCTTTTGACTTAGCCACCCTTCGTAGTTAGCTAAACTGTTGCAAATTACGGATAGTTGTTTTCTCGAAACTTCAAATGAGTACAGCGCTGTGCTTGGAATAACAGAGCCTTAGAATACTGCATCGCAGGTATCTTCGAGCTTGAGAAATCTTAACCCTAAATTCACCGTCAGAAATATTAATCCAGCTAAGCATCCCGCAGAAATATTAATCCGGCAGAAATATTAATCCGGCAGGATGAGGAAGACCAAGGGCGGGCGGACGATGAATCCGACAGACTCGTTCCGCAAGGAGCAGCGGAAGCGCGAGATCAAGAAGAACAAGGTGGAGCGCCGCAAGGTTCGCGAGACCGGCGTTCTGCGCAGCGACCCCGTCGCCATTCGCGAGCAGATCGCTAAGCTCAACGCCGCGAGTGCGTCCTCCCGCTTTCTATCGTTTCTATAATTGCCATGAAATTTTGGTCCGACGCAGCGACCCGGCGTCCATCCGCGAGCGGATCTGGATGACCTTTTTCTTATGCCTTTTTTTTTTTTAAACTTCCCCTTCAATTTTCTTTTTTCGTCCGAGCTTCGAGAAGAATCGCAAGCACAAGCTGAGGCAGCTGGAGAGGATAACATTTGTCGGGCACTTGTCAGACCTTTGTCAGACCTTTGTCAGACCCTTGTTAGACCATTGTCAGACCCTTGTTAGACCCTTGTTAGACCATTGTCAGACCCTTGTTAGACCATTGCGTGCGTGTGTGTGCCGTGTGCTGTGTGTCGTGTGTGCCGTGTGCTGTGTGTTGTGTGTGCCATGTGCTGTGTGTCGTGTGTGCCGTGTGCTGTGTGTGCCGTGTGCTGTGTGTGCCGTGTGCCATGTGCGGTGTGCCATGTGCCACGTGTACTGTGACTGGTGGTCAATGTAGAGTCGGAGGGACCCATGGAGAAGACTCGCAAGCACAAGCTGAGGCAACTGGAGGACCGGCTACAGCTGGTGGTGAAGAAACGCAAGGTGGGTGATTCAAAGGGGGGGTGCGGTGGTGGAGGGTGAGGAGGAGAGGGGTTGTGTGTGTAGTAGTTGAGCGAGTGACTGAAAGCTGCGGCAGCTGGAGGACCGGCTGCAGCTGGTGCTGAAGAAACGCAAGGTGAGTGATGGGGAGGGGAGGTGGAGGGTGATGGAGGAGAGGAGGAGATGAATGTGAGGAGGAGGGGGGATATGACTGACTGATTGGGTGAGTGACTGAAAGGGCTGGGAAGCACAAGCTGAGGCAGCTTGAGGACCGGCTGCAGCTGGTGTTGAAGAAACGCAAGGTGAGTGATGGCGGGGAGGGAGGGGAAAGGGGGAGGGGGGGTTGGGAAAAAAGGGGAGAGAGCAGGATGGGGAGAGGGGGTAAGGAGGGGAGTCGGAAGGGAGAAAGGATGGTGCTGGGCTGGGCTGGGAACATTGTGGCGGTGAACCAGGGGGAGTGCCAGGTGAAGGTAATCAACGCCCTTTCGTAAGGACAGGAAGATTCTGAAGCGTCTTGAAAATAGATGGTGCTGGTGAACAAGGAATAGAGACTGTGATTGCTACGGGTGAAGGTAAGAATTGACCATATGTACGGTCGGAGCACTCTGAGAAGATTTTGATTCTCTTGGGAAGAAGAGAATGAATTGTCTGACTTCCTCTCGCCTCACCCACTTGCGTTTGTATCAGACTCCCCTATCGGTTTTCTCCTTTTCTTCCTTCTCGACCGCCGCCCCTTCTTCTTCCTCCCCATCATCCCACCCCTTCCCTCCCTGCGAGCAGGAGTTTGAGCAGAAAATGAGGGAGGGGGGGGAGGGTCCAGTCATGTTCAGCCCACTGCCTTCTCGCTCACTCTTTCCCTCTTTCTCTCCCGTCCACTGCTGCCCCCCTCTCTCCTCTTGCGCCCTCGTTTGAGCAGGAGTTTGAGCAGAAAATGAGGGAACGGGGAGAGGATCCAGTCATGTTCAGGTGACCCTTGGTCAGAAACCTCTGCCCCTTGTACCCTTTACAAGCTGCTTCAGCACAAGACCAAACGCCTCCTTGTTGCAGCGATGTTCTCGCTCAACAATCGCTGCTTATCCCTAGTCGCTCGCACTCACACTACCAGGCACTCCCATTTCGTGTTTCCTCTGCTTCCTCCCTTCCCACCTGCCACTTAACTAAGTGCAGCCGTCTTTTGTCACCCCTCCCCCTGTCCCCTTCCCCCAAGCCGACTAATCTGTTGCACAACCTACCATTTATTTTCCTTCCTTCTTATCAAGCACTTATCTAAGTACCACTTTCTTCTCTCACCCTTCCCCCGCACGTGCCCCCTTGTTGTGCATCATTGTCCCTCTCGTCCCACCAGCCACCTCACTGCCCCTCGCAAGTCCGCCAACGAAGCCATCAGGAACCTTCGCCCAGAGGTGCGTGTGTGTGTGTGCTCAGTCCAGGGTGGATGGGGGAAGGAGAGGGGGGAGAAAGAGGAGGGGAAAAGGGGAGAGGGGGGGAAAGAGGAGGGGAAAAGGGGAGATGGGGGGAAAGAGGAGGGGAAAAGGGGAGAGGGGGGGAAAGAGGAGGGGAAAAGGGGAGAGGGGGAAAAAGAGGAGGGGAAAAGGGGAGAGGGGGGGAAAGAGGAGGGGAAAAGGGGAGAGGGGGGGAAAGAGGAGGGGAAAAGGGGAGAGGGGGGGAAAGAGGAGGGGAAAAGGGGAGAGGGGGAAAACGAGGAGGGGAAAAGGGGAGAGGGGAAAGAGGAGGAGAAAAGGGGAGAGGGGAAAGAGGTGGGGAAAAGGGGAGAGGGGGGAAAAAGAGGAGGGGAAAAGGGGAGAGGGGAAAGAGGAGGGGAGCAGGGGGGAGAGGGTGGAGGGAGGGGGGGGGGCAGGGAGGGGATACCATCATACCATGCTGAGACCATGCCCGGCACACCGGCACGCATGTCATGCATCATGCATGCACAATGTGCTCTTATGGCCCAATCTCGTGAGCATGGAGAGAGTTCCCATAACCCATGTTCTCTCTGTCGAGGAATCTTGTTTGGAATAAAACCTTTTTTCGGGATTGAAATGTAACCCTGTTGTTCGCTCAATGCCAGGATTCTGTGTACTACCATCCAACCCTGAACCCCTCGGGCCAGCCCCCACTGTTGAGACATCTCAAAAGTCATCCTGCGTGTATCCCAACCCTGTGTTCCCTCCCTCCTGCCAGGATTCCGTGTACTACCATCCAACCTTAACCCATCAGGCCAGCCCGCAGTGTTGATTCGTCTCAAAGCCATTCTGGCTGTATCCCAACCCTGTTGTTCCCTCCCTCTTTGTTCCCTCCCTCTTTGTTCCCTCCTGCCAGGATTCTGTGTACTATCATCCAACCTTGAACCCCTCGGGCCAGCCCCCACCAGGGAAAGCGCCCATGTATCGGCCCTCTCTCTGTGAGTGAGCAGCTGTGCCTATTGACTTGGCTATTAGTGAGTGTGTCTGGTTACTGAATGGTACTGAATGGCACTCCACGCTCACACCTCATCCTCATCTCCCACACTCACTCCTCTCCCCCTCCCTCCCACACTCACTCCTCTCCCCCTCCCTCTCACACTCACTCCGCTCCCCTCCTACATCCATCCTTGCTCTTCCCCCCTTGCCTTTCAATCGAGAGCAGCGAGACCCTCAGCAGGGCACGGAACAGGGTAGTGTTTGGTTGGTTGCGTCTGGATACTGAACGCCACTCCTCCTCCCCCTTCCACATCTCTCCCTCGCCTTCCTTGATTCTCCCGTCCTTGCCTTTCAATCGAGAGCAGCAAGACCCTCAGCAGGGCACGGAACAGGGCAATGCCTGGTTGGGTGTGTCTGAAAACCAAATCGCATTCCACTTACACTCACCCCTCCTCCCTCCCACATCTCTCCCATTCTCTCCTTGCCTCTCCCCCCTTTGCCTCTTAATCATGAGTAGCAAGACCGTCAGCAGGGCACGGAACAAGCGACGGGGAAGAGGAGGAGGAGGATGAGGAGGAAGAAGATTCGATGGATGAAGATGAGGAGGATGAGGAGGACGAGGAGGAGGAAGAGGGGGAGGGGGAGGGAGAGGAGGGAATGCATGGCACAGGGGGAGCTGCAGGGGGAGCTGCAGGGGGAGCTGCAGGGGGAGCTGCAGGGGGAGCTGCAGGGGGAGCTGCAGGGGGAGCTGCAGGGGGAGCTGCAGGGGGAGCTGCAGGGGGAGCTGCAGGGGGAGCTGCAGGGGGAGCTGCAGGGGGAGCTGCAGGGGGAGCTGCAGGGGAGCTGCAGGGGGAGCTGCAGGGGGAGCTGCAGGGGGAGCTGCAGGGGGAGCTGCAGTGCAGGGGGAGCTGCAGGGGGAGCTGCAGGGGGAGCTGCAGGGGGAGCTGCAGGGGGAGCTGCAGGGGGAGCTGCAGGGGGAGCTGCAGGGGGAGCTGCAGGGGGAGCTGCAGGGGGAGCTGCAGGGGGAGCTGCAGGGGGAGCTGCAGGGGGAGCTGCAGGGGGAGCTGCAGGGGGAGCTGCAGGGGGAGCTGCAGGGGGAGCTGCAGGGGGAGCTGCAGGGGGAGCTGCAGGGGGAGCTGCAGGGGGAGCTGCAGGGGGAGCTGCAGGGGGAGCTGCAGGGGGAGCTGCAGGGGGAGCTGCAGGGGGAGCTGCAGGGGGAGCTGCAGGGGGAGCTGCAGGGGGAGCTGCAGGGGAAGCTGCAGGGGGAGCTGCAGGGGGAGCTGCAGGGGGAGCTGCAGGGGGAGCTGCAGGGGGAGCTGCAGGGGGAGCTGCAGGGGGAGCTGCAGGGGGAGCTGCGGGGGAGCTGCAGGGGAGCTGCAGGGGGAGCTGCAGGGGGAGCTGCAGGGGGAGCTGCAGGGGGAGCTGCAGGGGGAGCTGCAGGGGGAGCTGCAGGGGGAGCGAGAAGCTGCAGGGGGAGCTGCAGGGGGAGCTGCAGGGGGAGCTGCAGGGGGAGCTGCAGGGGGAGCTGCAGGGGGAGCTGCAGGGGGAGCTGCAGGGGGAGCTGCAGGGGAGCTGCAGGGGAGCTGCAGGGGGAGCTGCAGGGGGAGCTGCAGGGGGAGCTGCAGGGGGAGCTGCAGGGGGAGCTGCAGGGGAGCTGCAGGGGGAGCTGCAGGGGGAGCTGCAGGGGGAGCTGCAGGGGGAGCTGCAGGGGGAGCTGCAGGGGGAGCTGCAGGGGGAGCTGCAGGGGGAGCTGCAGGGGGAGCTGCAGGGGGAGCTGCAGGGGGAGCTGCAGGGGGAGCTGCAGGGGGAGCTGCAGGGGGAGCTGCAGGGGGAGCTGCAAGGGGGAGCTGCAGGGGGAGCTGCAGGGGAGCTGCAGGGGGAGCTGCAGGGGGAGCTGCAGGGGGAGCTGCAGGGGGAGGCTGCAGGGAGCTGCAGGGGAGCTGCAGGGGGAGCTGCAGGGGGAGCTGCAGGGGGAGCTGCAGGGGGAGCTGCAGGGGGAGCTGCAGGGGGAGCTGCAGGGGGAGCTGCAGGGGGAGCTGCAGGGGGAGCTGCAGGGGGAGCTGCAGGGGGAGCTGCAGGGGGAGCTGCAGGGGGAGCTGCAGGGGGAGCTGCAGGGGGAGCTGCAGGGGGAGCTGCAGGGGAGCTGCAGGGGGAGCTGCAGGGGGAGCTGCAGGGGGAGCTGCAGGGGGAGCTGCAGGGGAGCTGCAGGGGGAGCTGCAGGGGGAGCTGCAGGGGGAGCCTGCAGGGGGAGCTGCAGGGGGAGCTGCAGGGGGAGCTGCAGGGGGAGCTGCAGGGGGAGCTGCAGGGGGAGCTGCAGGGGGAGCTGCAGGGGGAGCTGCAGGGGGAGCTGCAGGGCAGGGGGAGCTGCAGGGGGAGCTGCAGGGGGAGCTGCAGGGGGAGCTGCAGGGGGAGCTGCAGGGGGAGCTGCAGGGGGAGCTGCAGGGGGAGCTGCAGGGGGAGCTGCAGGGGGAGCTGCAGGGGGAGCTGCAGGGGGAGCTGCAGGGGGAGCCTGCGGGGAGCTGCAGGGGGAGCTGCAGGGGGAGCTGCAGGGGGAGCTGCAGGGGGAGCTGCAGGGGGAGCTGCAGGGGAGCTGCAGGGGGAGCTGCAGGGGGAGCTGCAGGGGGAGCTGCAGGGGGAGCTGCAGGGGGAGCTGCAGGGGGAGCTGCAGGGGGAGCTGCAGGGGGAGCTGCAGGGGGAGCTGCAGGGGGAGCTTGCAGGGGGAGCTGCAGGGGGAGCTGCAGGGGGAGCTGCAGGGGGAGCTGCAGGGGGAGCTGCAGGGGGAGCTGCAGGGGAGCTGCAGGGGGAGCTGCAGGGGAGCTGCAGGGGGAGCTGCAGGGGGAGCTGCAGGGGGAGCTGCAGGGGGAGCTGCAGGGGGAGCTGCAGGGGGAGCTGCAGGGGGAGCTGCAGGGGGAGCTGCAGGGGGAGCTGCAGGGGGAGCTGCAGGGGGAGCTGCAGGGGGAGCTGCAGGGGAGCTGCAGGGGGAGCTGCAGGGGGAGCTGCAGGGGGAGCTGCAGGGGGAGCTGCAGGGGGAGCTGCAGGGGGAGCTGCAGGGGGAGCTGCAGGGGGAGCTGCAGGGGGAGCTGCAGGGGGAGCTGCAGGGGGAGCTGCAGGGGGAGCTGCAGGGGGAGCTGCAGGGGGAGCTGCAGGGGGGAGCTGCAGGGGGAGCTGCAGGGGGAGCTGCAGGGGGAGCTGCAGGGGGAGCTGCAGGGGGAGCTGCAGGGGGAGCTGCAGGGGGAGCTGCAGGGGGAGCTGCAGGGGGAGCTGCAGGGGGAGCTGCAGGGGGAGCTGCAGGGGGAGCTGCAGGGGGAGCTGCAGGGGGAGCTGCAGGGGGAGCTGCAGGGGGAGCTGCAGGGGGAGCTGCAGGGGAGCTGCAGGGGGAGCTGCAGGGGGAGCTGCAGGGGGAGCTGCAGGGGGAGCTGCAGGGGGAGCTGCAGGGGGAGCTGCAGGGGGAGCTGCAGGGGGAGCTGCAGGGGGAGCTGCAGGGGGAGCTGCAGGGGGAGCTGCAGGGGGAGCTGCAGGGGGAGCTGCAGGGGGAGCTGCAGGGGGAGCTGCAGGGGGGAGCTGCAGGGGGAGCTGCAGGGGGAGCTGCAGGGGGAGCTGCAGGGGAGCTGCAGGGGGAGCTGCAGGGGGAGCAGGGGGAGCTGCAGGGGGAGCTGCAGGGGGAGCTGCAGGGGGAGCTGCAGGGGGAGCTGCAGGGGGAGCTGCAGGGGGAGCTGCAGGGGGAGCTGCAGGGGGAGCTGCAGGGGGAGCTGCAGGGGGAGCTGCAGGGGGAGCTGCAGGGGGAGCTGCAGGGGGAGCTGCAGGGGGAGCTGCAGGGGGAGCTGCAGGGGGAGCTGCAGGGGGAGCTGCAGGGGGAGCTGCAGGGGGAGCTGCAGGGGGAGCTGCAGGGGGAGCTGCAGGGGGAGCTGCAGGGGGAGCTGCAGGGGGAGCTGCAGGGGGAGCTGCAGGGGGAGCTGCAGGGGGAGCTGCAGGGGAGCTGCAGGGGGAGCTGCAGGGGGAGCTGCAGGGGGAGCTGCAGGGGGAGCTGCAGGGGGAGCTGCAGGGGGAGCTGCAGGGGGAGCTGCAGGGGGAGCTGCAGGGGGAGCTGCAGGGGGAGCTGCAGGGGGAGCTGCAGGGGGAGCTGCAGGGGGAGCTGCAGGGGGAGCTGCAGGGGGAGCTGCAGGGGGAGCTGCAGGGGGAGCTGCAGGGGGAGCTGCAGGGGGAGCTGCAGGGGAGCTGCAGGGGGAGCTGCAGGGGGAGCTGCAGGGGGAGCTGCAGGGGGAGCTGCAGGGGGAGCTGCAGGGGGAGCTGCAGGGGGAGCTGCAGGGGGAGCTGCAGGGGGAGCTGCAGGGGGAGCTGCAGGGGGGAGCTGCAGGGGGAGCTGCAGGGGGAGCTGCAGGGGGAGCTGCAGGGGGAGCTGCAGGGGGAGCTGCAGGGGGAGCTGCAGGGGGAGCTGCAGGGGGAGCTGCAGGGGGAGCTGCAGGGGGAGCTGCAGGGGGAGCTGCAGGGGGAGCTGCAGGGGGAGCTGCAGGGGGAGCTGCAGGGGGAGCTGCAGGGGGAGCTGCAGGGGGGGGAGCTGCAGGGGGAGCTGCAGGGGGAGCTGCAGGGGGAGCTGCAGGGGGAGCTGCAGGGGGAGCTGCAGGGGGAGCTGCAGGGGGAGCTGCAGGGGGAGCTGCAGGGGGAGCTGCAGGGGGAGCTGCAGGGGGAGCTGCAGGGGGAGCTGCAGGGGGAGCTGCAGGGGGAGCTGCAGGGGGAGCTGCAGGGGGAGCTGCAGGGGGAGCTGCAGGGGGAGCTGCAGGGGGAGCTGCAGGGGGAGCTGCAGGGGGAGCTGCAGGGGGAGCTGCAGGGGGAGCTGCAGGGGGAGCAGCAGCGGGAATGGTTCCCCTTCCCCCTCCTCCTCCGCCTCCCCCGCTTCCAGACGCGCACACCCTCCCTCCAGGCGTCCCCATGCCTCTCCCCATACCTGTCCCCGTGCCCCCCCTCCCCCCGCCCCCCCTGGCATGGCTCCCCCGAGTTTCCCCCCCCAGTTCCCCCCCCCGCACTTGCAACAGCCTCCCCCTCCTCCCCCTCGCGCTGGATTCCCCCCTGGCATGCGCCCCCCTCCCCCTCCCCCTCGACCTGGGGCAGAGGGGGGGAGGGGAGGGGGTGGGGGAGGGGAAGAGGAGGAGGATGCTAGGCCTCCGGGGGTTGATCTTGCTGCTCCGCCTGGTGCTGGTGCTGGTGCTGGTGCTGCTGCGGCCGAGGGGAAAAGAATCCCCCCTCCCCCTCCTCCCCATCACCACCTCCCCCTGGGATCCGCCCCCCCCGAATCCACCCCCTCCTCTCGTCCCCCTGGTGTTCCCCCTCCCCCTCCCCCCCGCATTGCTCCTGGAGCCCCCCCTTCCGCCACTCCCCCCAACCTCCCCCCAGGCATGCGCCCACCTGTTTTTCCCCCACCAATGGGCCCCCCAGGAGCCCCCCCTGGGGGCCCCCCTAGTAACCGCCCCCCTCCCCCTCCCCCGCGCCCCATGGGGGGAATCCCCCCCGGCCCTCCCCCGAGACCCATGGGATCCGCGCCCCCATCCATGCACCCTCCCCCCGGCCCTCCCCCCGCACACCTCCTCCGCCCTCCCCACCCTTCCCTCGCCCCTGGCGCTCCCCCGGGCGCTCTAGCCCCCCCCGCCCACCTTCCCCCAGGCATGCGCCCTCCCCCTGGCCCTCCACCTGGCCGTCCCCCTGTGGGCCTGGGGGGAGGACCGGGGGGAGGTATTCCCCCTCCGCCTCCCCCTGGTATGAGACCCCCCCCAGGCCCCCCCCCAGCAGAAGCGCTAGCAGGTGTGGGCGGGGGGATGGGAGGAGGAGACGGGGGAGGAATGGAAGCAGGAGCGGCAGGGGGAGGGGGAGCAGGGGGAGCAGGGGGAGCAGGGGGAGGAGGGGGAGGGGGGGAGGGTAAGCCTACTCCTGCGTATGTGAAGGTGGCAGCTCCAATGGTGGTGAAACGGCCTCTGGCACAACACACACCGGAACTGACTGCCATGGTGAGAGGGATCATTTGTGAGCATTCATGTGTGCTGGGGTGAAAGGGGGTTAGCTGTGGTCGTGTGGGGTGTGCCTGTGCCCCCCTTCTCCACTGCGGCCACTCCAGCGTATGTGAAGGTGGCAGCTCCAATGGTGGTGAAACGACCTCTGGCACAACACACACCGGAACTCACAGCCATGGTGAGAGCATATCTGTGAAAGCATGTGTGTGCCCTGGGGTGAGGGGTGTAGGTGGAGTATGGTTGTGAGTTGCACGTGCTCCCCTTGTGCACTGTACCGAATCCAGTGTACGTGAAGGTGGCGGCACCGATGGTGGTGAAACGACCTCTGGCACAACACACACCGGAACTGACTGCCATGGTGAGAGCACCTTCGTGCGAGCATGTGTGTGTGCGGTGAGAGGGGGGCATGTGTTGTGTTTGCATGGGGAGGGGGAGGGGGGGAGGGTAAGCCTACCCCAGTGTATGTGAAGGTGGCGGCACCGATGGTGGTGAAACGGCCTCTGGCACAACACACACCGGAACTGACTGCCATGGTGAGAGCACCTTCGTGCGAGCATGTGTGTGTGCGGGCAGGGTGTGGGTGGAGGGAGGGGAGGGGGGGGGAGGGGGAGTTGGAAAGTGGGACGAGGCAGTAGGCGCTTTGAGACGTCTCGAAAGGGACGAGGCAGTAGGCACCTCTGAAGCCCAAGACAACGGCTGTTGCTGCTGCTGCTGCTCTTGATTTCCCTCACCCTCCTTGTCTATCTCCCACTCTTTCGTTTCCCTCCACCCATCCACACCACCAGGCCCCTGCGCCCGTGAGAGTGAGAAGGCAGGAGGCACTGATAAAGCTCAAGCCAAAGGCTCCTCCTGTTTCTGTCTCCCCTTACCCTCCTTGTCTATCCCTCACTCTCCCCTCCCCTCCTTCCTCTCCTTCCCCTCCTTCCACACCACCAGGTCCCAGCATCTGTGCGAGTGAGAAGGCAGGAGGCACTAATGAAGCCCAAACCAAAGGCTGCTGCTGCTGCTGTCCGCCCTTGCCCAACTCGTCTATCCCTCTCTCTCCTCCACCACTCCCCACCACCAGGTTCCAGCATCTGTGCGAGTGAGGAGGCAGGAGGCACTAATGAAGCCCAAACCAAAGGCCGCTGCTGCTGATTCGGCTTGCCTTCCTTGTCTATCCCTCTCTCTCCCCTCCCCTCCACTTCACACCATTCTCCTCCACCACTCCCCACCACCAGGTCCCAGCATCTGTGCGAGTGAGAAGGCAGGAGGCTCGGATAGTGCCCAAGCCCAAGGCAAAGGCTCCTGCCGCTGCTGTCACCTCTGTCTGCCTCAACTGTACTGACTATTTCTCTCTTCTCCTTCCCCACCACCAGGTCCCAGCATCCGTGAGAGTGAGAAGGCAGGAGGTACTGATTAAGCTCAAACCAAAGGCTGCTGCTGCTGTTTCCCCTCGTCCTCCTCTTCTATCCCTCACTCTCCCCCTCCCCTCCTTCCCCACCACTCCCCACCACCAGGTCCCAGCGTCTGTGCGGGTGAGAAGGCAGGAGGCACTAATGAAGCCCAAACCAAAGGCCGCTGCTGCTGCTACTGCTCGGGCTGCCCCTGCTGCTGCTGCTGCTGCTGCTGCTGCTGCTGCTGCTGCTGCTGCTGCTGCTGCTGCTGCTGCTGCTGCTGCTGCTGCTGCTGCTGCTGCTGCTGCTGCTGCTGCTGCTGCTGCTGCTACGGCTGCCGCTGCTGCTGCGCCGACTAAACCACCGAGTATTGACGACTCGTATTCTGCTTTTATGGAGGAAATGAAGGAGCTGGGGGCATTTGAGGGGGATGAGAGCTAGTAGTAGCACTGCTCGGGCCGCCCCTGTTGCTGCTGCTGCTACCCCTGCAGCTGCTGCCGCGACAAGAAAACCGGCCAGTAGTGAATTGACAATTCATATTCCGATTTTATGTAGGAGATTAAGGAGTGCATTTGAAGGCGAAGAGAGCCGAAACCATCATTAAATGCTCGCTCACCTACTGACAAGATATGAGGAGGTGGGAACAAATTATGCTTTGGTAACCTAAGCTTGCCTTGCATTTTGTGTCATCAAATGTAAGTAGCGACGCGGTACACTGCGCACCTTTATGACTGATCTAGTTTGTAACGCGGATATTTCCTGGGGTTCTTACACATAAACCTTCCGACTCCGATCATTATTTGGACCAGTTATTTTTAGCAGCGAGACCTGTCTATGGCGGCGCCTTCACCGCCATGTTTTGCGCTTTCGCGGTCACAACCCACTGCCGCGGCACTTCGCATTACGAACGCTGTTGGATCTGCGTTTCATGTTCCACCTTTTGCGTTTATCGAGTCTGTCGCGCCTGTCGCGCAGCTTACGCCGATCGGCGCAAGCGCGCCCCTGGGACTGCCGCGGTGTACGCGAAATATTCCTGCGCGGCGGCTTGCGCGTGCGGGCGCGGTCCGCGATCCGCTTCTGAAGCGTGGCTCTGCTGGAGTTTGCGGAGCGGCGGTTGCTAAAGGGGCCGCGGGGGGATGCGGGGGAACGAAGGGCGAGGGGGTTACAGGCGCTGCGGGAAAAGGCGCGGAGGGCGAAGGCGGAAGGGGGGAAGGCTCCGGAGACGAGAAGAAACCACCTGAAACGAAAGAGAAGGAGAAAAGGCTGAAGGAGAAGCAGAAGAGGGAGAAAAAGGGGGAGAAGAAGGAGAAGAAGGAAAAGAAGGAGAGGAAGGAGAGGGAGGAAAAGAAAGAAAAACGGCAGCGAGCTAAGACTAGGGAGGAGGGTGACGGCGAAGGCGCGAGCGCGTGCGAGCGCGCGGCGGGTGAGCGCGCGGCGGGTGGAGATGAGAAGGGAAGGGGCGCGGAGGAGGGAGATGCGGGAAGGGGCGGGGGGGCGGGAGATGAGGCGCAAAGTTCGGGAGCAGAAGCCTTGCGGAAGGGGGAAAGTTTAGGGGAGGATTGTTCGGACGAGGAGTCCCCCGAGCGCTCCTGGCGCACCGTGTTTTCCTCCGCTTCCCCCGCGGATCGTTCTCCAAAACCCTCCCGCGGCTTCCTCACCGACTCTGATCCCGTCCCGATCCAAGGCAGCTGGCTCGGGGACGACTCCACCGCGAGCCAAAGCTTCAGCTTCGGCGCCGGCGACCGCGTTCCGGACCAAAGCGGCAGGTCTGGCGGCGGGTGGTGCGGGCTGTGCGGGGACGGGTCGGGATGGGTGCAGTGCGGTGCGTGCGACGGGAAAGGCGCGTACGCTACGGCGCCTGGGCTGGGGGGAGTGAAGGGGAAGGTTGGATGGGCGTTGTGCAAGACGTGCTATGGGTGGAAGGCCACCCCTTGTGTTCTGTGCGCTGTTAGCGGCGCAGAGGAGTGGTTGCAGTGGCAGGAGCATGCTATGAGGCACCCTGTGAAGGTTAAGGTTGGGGGAGAGGAGGTGGGGAGGGGAAGAGAGGAGGAGGGGGAGAGGTGAGAAGAGTGGAATAGTGAGAAAAAATGGAGGAGTGAAAAGAAGGAAGGAATGAGGAAATCTGGAGAAGTGTAGCAGAGTGGAGTGTTGGGGACAGGGGAAGGAGAAGGCAAGTGGAGAGATGGAGAAGTAAGGGGGGGAGATGAATAAGAGAAGGTTTGTGTGGAGCGAGGTGGGAGAGGAGAGCCAGAGGGGGAGGAGGAGGAGGAGCAGAAGAGGAGGAGGAGCAGAAGAGGAGGAGGAGGAAGAAAAAATTTCCATGCGTGCGTTATGTGGTGAGTGGGTGTGGGGTGGCTAGATCAAGGGTGGGGAGGTGAGAGTAGGTGAGAAAGACGGGATGGGAAGGTAAGCCATACATTTCAACGCATGGGAGGGAAAAGAAGGGCTGCAGCAGGAGAGATTGCTGCTGGCTCCGATACACCCCTCCAACAGCAATCCCACTGACCCCAGCCTTCTCGCCTCTTAACACTCTCGATTTCCGCCCTTATCTCTCTCTTTTTTTTCAATAAAGAAGGGGAAATAAGGGTTTGGGGAAGAGATGCGGTGGTAAGAGTGGTAGGGTCTTGGGTCTGTGGGTCAAGGTTTCTGATGACTGCCCGAGAAAAACATACTCGTGCGGACAGATACGGGCCTGACATAAGATCTATTGTGTACGTACCTTGCATGTTTTGCGCGCAGGGGTGTCATGTGTTGCACAAAAGGCATACACGCTTGGAATTTGTTCTATCCCAATGCGGTGCATTTTTGTCTGGAGTCAGGTCAGGCGCTTTGGGAGAGGATGCAGAGGACTCGCAATGCTGGGTGGCAATATCAGTTGCTGCTCAGGTGTTTCGTTTCATGAACATAATTCAAGTTTTAGAAGTGCGTGGCGGAAGTTGCGCGTGTTGTCTGTATACATGATTACTCGAATATGCATAGTACCGGTATGTGTGACTCGTGTAGAATACCTTTACCTACGGACCTACAATGCAGCAGCCAAAGTAGAAAGCTTTACTGTAACTTTTGAAGTCTGCGTTCGATGTACAGTTGTGGAACTCTTGTTTATAACTGCCGGAAACGACTGCGATTTGACAACAAGGGTCAAAGCCTGCCATTCCAGGTCACTGGGGCGGAACGTGCAATGCTCGCGCGGGAGTTTTTTGCTAGGGTCCGGGCAAGCCAGCCCACATCAGGGTACCTCTCGGAACCCACCCTGATAGACACCGCTCGCCGTCGAAATCAACGTGGAAAATGTCAGTACTACTGTAGTCTTTTCGGAAAAGAGTCGTTTCTAAAAGTGCGGTCGCTCTAACAGCCCGACAATCCACATTCCAACACGAAGAAATACGTGAGTCACAGTCACGCATTTAATTTGCCAAAACATGGTAGGGCTGACCAACAACATCACAGAACCCTATAATGCCTCGACTAATAATAGTAGAACCAAAAACATAGCTCCAAAACAATTTGTACCAACCCATACTAGAATGCGTAGTGCATTATATACATCTAATATTGTAGTCCATGATACTATCATGCCTATCAACCCTATTAAGCCATACTCTTGCTGGAATTTTTACCCTTCATATGCTCCAACAAACGCCCAATCATGCTATTACTGCCGCTCATAAAAGTTCCACCCATGAAATTCGCGGCTGCTTCATGCCTTGCCATGGCCCTTTCGACGCCGCGCTTAAACTCCTCCTGTGCCGCCCAGGCGTCGGCGGCGGATTTCTGAATGCATTTGCGCGATTCCTCGATGTGCGTCGCGCTGAGAGCCTCGCGGATTTCTGCTCAAAGAGGAAACAGAACATGATTAGCGCACCATATTGAGAAAGACATGAGCGTGGGAAGTGTCGAAACCACTTCACCGAATATCTCCAATTTCGAGGTCTCACCTTCAACGGAAGGCTTCGGAATATCGTTCGTTTGTCGTCCATGCCGCCAGCAGTGCCATTCCGCCCACTCCGCAGGTTTCCGCAGCGCCAGCGGGGCCGTATCACGAGCCAAATCAGGACCTTCCAACCCGTTGCTAGCACTGTTGACGACGGCGGAATCTTCGGAAGCGCCGCGTCGAACGACTGTCGACGTCTCGTCGCGAAAATCCGCGAACTCTTGCCTAAAATTGTCAAAATCGGATGTCTCTAAAGTGTGGTTCGGTTCCGCAGACTCTGCGGAAGGATCCGACAAGACACGGCCATAGAGCCTTGGCGTGCCAGGATCCTCGAGTTGCCCCGCTGGGCTCTGCGGAAACGCGAACTCGCCGCTGCCGATAGAAACGCTGCGATCATAGAACGAAGACGACGGCCCATCGGAAGGCGAACTGGACGAGCTGGGCGTCGACGCGCTACGGAAAACTCGCGGAGAGCGCGGGTTAACCATCTGGACACTACGTACTAAGCACTACTACAAATTCCGAAGGGAGACGGTGCTGGAAGGATTGATAAATCAAAGCACGAGAAGTGGCGTGAGAGAAAAGGTGACCTAACTTGCCATTTGATTGAACTTCATATATTTCGAGATCAGGCTGATTTGGAAGTGGCGTGGTGGTGTCTTGCCGCTGGACGAAGGCAAGATGAACGCGCGCGGGGTGACGTGGCGGGTTGGTTAGATTGGAAGGGGGGCCTTTCGCTCGGCCTCAAGCCGAGGAGGTTGCTGGTTGGTGTTGGTCCATCCGCAGGCACCCACCGGCGCGGAGCGGTCTTGGTGGAGGCGAGGCGAGTTGGCGCAAGAGGGTTGCAAACGAGAAGACGAACGCCGGAATGTGGTTGGTCATTGGTCAGACAACACGACTAGGACGGAAAATAGTACAGGGAAATTGTTTTTGTTTTGTGAATGCGAAAAACCACCACCCACAGTCGTATCTGGTCTGGACCAAACCACATTGTCCAGTTGTACAGTAATGGGTCTTTATGGATAAACTCATACGCTGCCCGGGTTTCCCCACGGGCATCCTGGGGATTATTATCGTTCTTTTTTCAAAAGGACGATTCATGTTGACATCCGGAATTACAGGGATTACTTGTGCGCTGAACAGAGGGAAATGTTATGGTGAACAGAGTTCAACGCGGATGATAGGTGGTAGAGGCGACAGGGGTCGTGGCAAAGACGACTGGGGTGGTGAGAAATATGAGAGGATTTAGAAGGGTTTGGGACGGATTTGGGAGGAGGGGATGCGGTTACAGGGTCTGATGAACCACTTTCCACCACAAAGCCCAGAACGTCCGCTGTGGGGGGACCCAGACCAACTCAACTACAGTGTGCAGAAACGCTATATACTGTGTATACTGATTTTTGGAACTGTTGTGTAATCTAAATTAGATGTGACAGTGAAGGCAGCTGACTCCACTTCCTTCAAAACAGCCACGCTACTTACCGCAAGTGTCTGCCCTAGGGATACCTTAGTCAGCCTGTAGGGGTTAGCAAGCCACCCGTCTAGCATATCATAGCATCCCTGCGGTCTCGATTGGCATCCATTGAAAGAGTTTAACGTCGGACTCTGAGGTGGAACGACACGTCAGATTTTCACGTGAGATTCTATTTTGAGCAGAGCCAAAGGCGTGCTGGACATACAGTAGCCTCCAAATCCGACGAAGCATCCCTGCTGTAGATGAGCCAAGTTCCTGAACTGTGCAGGTGACTTCGCCGACTTCGGCTCTACAGCGCCACGCGCAACATTCACATTTGAATTGTTTTTTTGCCTGCGTGACGGGATGGAAACGACACCACCCAGATGTATGCATGCACTATGACAGCAATTGTATTCCCTCCGTCCAGTCCATTGAATATCAAGTTATCCACACCACAGTGTGACCCTGCAGATAGAGGTCCTCAACATATCAAACGTACTGTAATGGTTACTGTACGCGTTATGGAGCCCCATTTTGGTTAACCTTCGCATATTTTCCCACATATCAAGATGGCGCTAGGGAACCTTGAGACAAGTGGAGTCAATAGGAAAAGAAACCTCTTTGTTTTTTAGTTCCATCTGTGTACAGTGTGAATCTCTTGAACCTAAGCAAATTGCTAACCAGATATTACTACCTCACATTTAGACAAGAGTGCAGCATTGCACGAGAAAGAAGATGCAGCCTCTTTGTTCTACCATCCAAAACGGGAACATAGAATTCTTATGTTTGTCATTCTCTTGTGGTGACGTTATACGTTGTACACCTCCCTTCCATCCAGTACACTGCCAGTATTTCGTGGATGATCTATACCTCGCCAAATTGGCTTATTTGATGATTTTAGCATTATAGCCTTCTTGCCCTTGGCTTTCTGTTTCTTCTTTGTCGAAATCTCCACAGACCGCGTAGAAATATGAATCCTGCATAAGGAATCAAACGAAACACAACATGTTAACGAGCTCAAATAGCCTTTGGAACGATACTGCAGCATGCAAATAGCGCTGACACGTGTGGGTGTGAAGTGAAGACAATAACTCATGTGTTACGGGGGTGGGGGGCGGCGGGGGGGGGGGGGGGGGAGGGAGGAGGAGATGGAGGGGGGGAGATCGAGATTACCCGAGGCAGCAGCGATAATTGGGAAAAACGCATCGAGCTGAGTCAGTCGAGGTGATTTGTGAGGCGCCTCAAAGGTCGAAGGGAGTGGAGCAAGGAACCGGCACGTTTCAAGCGCAGCAGGATTTGATCCAGATGTGATTTGCCCAGGTTGGAGGGAGGGGGTGGAAGGGGAGACAGAGTGGATTGGGGGGAGGGAGGGAAGGAGGGGTGGCAGGTGAAGGCCATTAAGGCATGAATGTGGACGGAGGAATCAAAAGGGTTGAGGGAGAGAAGGAAATGAACAAGTGAGCGGAAACGTGTATAAGAATAATGGATTCGAATTGATTCAACTATAATTTGGCTGACGCTTGTGGCTGAACCCACTCTCCCTCCCCCTATTCCCCCCCCTATTCCCCCCCCTATTTTCCCCACACCTCCCTCCAGATCTCACCTCCTCCTCCCGCTCATGCCAGTGCCTCCAGATGCTCTTCCCAGCACCCTGCCCTCCCCCTCTCCCTCCCCCTGTTTTCCCCACATCTCCCCATACCTGACTTTTGAGTCGATTCGAAAGTCATTTTGTGTCGACTCAAAAGCCCTCTCCCTCCCCCTATTAACCCCACAACTCCCCATACCTGACCCCCCCCCCCCATATCTCACCTCCTCCTCCCGCTCGTGCCAGTGCCTCCAGATGCTCCGCCCAGCCGACTGTCCTCCCCCTCCCCCTCCCCCTCCCTCACCGCCTGCTAGCAACAGGTCATCTGCACTCACATCAGCAGCAGCAGCACCATCGCTGCTGCCACTACCCCCCACTCTCTCCGTTATGCCATCGTCCACTCTCACAGCAGCAGCAGCAGCAGCATCAGCAGCAGTATCAGCAGCACCAGCACCAGAAGCAGCAGCAGCAGCAGCAGCAGTACCAGCAGCACTACCAGCACCAGAAGAAACAGCAACAGCACCAGAATCTGCAGCACCGTTAGCAGCAGTATCATTAGATTCCCTCGCGCTGTCATCACCCCTTTTCACCGCATTCAATCCCTTCACACCATCAGATCCTCGTATCTCGCTCCCCATTCCAAGTTCCTGCTGCTCCTGCTGCTCCTGCTGCTTCTCTTCCTTCCACACTCCAAGTTCTACTGCCTCTGTAGTCCCCTGCTCACCTCCCGCCCCCCCTTCCCATTTCCCATCTTCCTCAGCCCTCAGTCTCCCTTTCCCATCTCTCCCCGGCCCCTCTTCACTCTCCCCCTCTTCCCTCCCTCCCTCCTCGCGTGCCCTCACTTCCCCCGATCCCTCTCCCCCCTCCTTCACATTCTCTCCCTGCTGTGTTACAATCTCAAAAGAACGATCACGATCCCTCTCCTCTCCCTTATCCTCATCCTCCCTCACATTAACCACATCCCCCAAATCAGCAGCAACAGCACCATGCTTGGGAAAATCAGTCACACCCTTATTCCCAGAAGCATCAGCAACACCCCCACCCCCCACACTCTCAGGCCCACTCTCCTCTATGATTCTTCTCCCCCCTCCTCCTCTCCGTCCTCCCACCAACCCCCCTCGTACTCTTCTCCTTCCCTCCCCCCTCAACACATCTCCTCCCCCCCCACCTGGTTTCCGCTGCTTCTTTCCGACCCCTAAAACTTTTGAATCCTGCCCGCACACCAGCGGCTTCCCGAGAACCAATGACAGGTCGGTGAAATTCACATCGGTCCGCCTCGCGGGCAGCACAAAAACTTCCGAACCGCCCAATTTCGAATCTGCCCCTGAGAAACCCCGGATCAAATCTGACCGATTCTTCTGCCCCTCCTCCCCGCCACCGCTCCCCATTGCAGTCAGCAGCTCATTCCTATGGTGAAACAACGTCGGGTCTTTTTTACCCTCGGCGGCAAAACTAAGCATCTTTCTTAGCAGCCAGAAGCAGTCGCTTACCAAATGACTGCTGTCCAAGCAGTTAGAATCGCCAAAAACCCCCACTCTTCCCTGCCCCCTCTCCACTAAACCCAGCACCGAAGCCTCTACTTGACTCTTCATCCTCCCTCCTCTAGTCGAAACAATCGACCCGCCACTCCCCCCTCCTGCCACTCCCCCCTCTTCCCCTCCTCCCCTCTCTCCCCCTCCTCCTCCACCCTCTTCCCCGCCCTCTCCCCCACCACTACCCCCACCTGACGAACCATCCCTGAAGAGAAACCGGTGCACGTACCCCCCTTTGGGGAACCTGCGAATATCGGTGCCCGAGGCAAAGTAAGCTCTATGGCCGGCGATTGAAAAGGTGCCGGAGAGAATGGCATCGCCAAACACGATCCCGAAAGGGGAGAGGAGGTCGTTGAGGGCAGGGACGTTGGCTCCACCTGGAGGAATGTGGGGAGAAGGAGGATGAAAAGAGCACGACTGAGTTGGGTTAGAGTCACACGACGGGCAAGAACAGAGAAGGTGTGAGATGCCGTGTTCTCACCAGCAGCAGGTGTGAAATGCGGTACAGTGCGCTCACCAGTGGCAGGCGTCCACCAGGAGCGAGTGTTATCATCAAAGAAGCGCATGTGCTTCATGGTGGGCACGTGGTACCAGTCGCCCACCACTATCAGGCCCAGCCCCAGCACTGTAACATCGTGGTGCAGCTTGGCTATCTGAGACGCACAGGGGGGGAGTGCAGGGAAGAGCGGATGCATGTGCTTCATGGTGGGCACATCACGTGGGCACATCACGTGGTCACACACAGTCGCCCACCACTGTCAGACCCAGCGGGGGGCACTGTGATATGATGGCATGTTCTGTTTGGCGATCTGAATCCTGCCTATGCTCACCTCCTCTGCGTGGTACTCCTCCTCCATGTCCACCATCAGCACCGCGCCATACTCCCAGCGCCCAGGCCCACTACCAAACCCACCCTGCCTCCTCCCTACGCTCACCTCCCCTGCGTGGTACTCCTCCTCCATATCAACCATCAGCAGAGCGCCATACTCCCGCGCATCGAAGCACGTGACCGGCGACCCCAGCACCTCCAGGTAGTCGTTTGCATAAAAGCACCTGATTCTTACATGCCTTTCCATCCTCTCACCTCCTCGCCATGGTACTCCTCCATGTCCACCATCAGCAGTGCGCCATACTCCCTCGCAACACAACACCACACCACACTACATGTATCAGCTTTTGTTCGGGACTCTCATGTGTCTGAATCCTCCTTTCACTTCCTCACAGTCCCACATCTCACCTCCTCTGCATGGTACTCCTCCTCCATATCCACCATCAGCACCGCGCCATACTCCCTCGCGTCAAAGCACGTGAGGGGCGACCCCAGCACCTCCAGCGTGAACCCCCACTCCCTCAAGCTTGAGCCCCCAGTCCCTCAGTCCCTACCAACTCTCACCTCCTCGCCGTGGTACTCCTCCTCCATATCCACCATCAGCACCGCGCCATACTCCCTCGCGTCAAAGCACGTGAGGGGCGACCCCAGCACCTCCAGCGTGAACCCCCACTCCCTCAAGCTTGAGCCCCCAGTCCCTCAGTCCCTACCAACTCTCACCTCCTCGCCGTGGTACTCCTCCTCCATATCCACCATCAGCACCGCGCCATACTCCCTCGCGTCAAAGCACGTGAGGGGCGACCCCAGCACCTCCAGCGTGAACCCCCACTCCCTCAAGCTTGAGCCCCCAGTCCCTCAGTCCCTACCAACTCTCACCTCCTCGCCGTGGTACTCCTCCTCCATATCCACCATCAGCACCGCGCCATACTCCCTCGCGTCAAAGCACGTGAGGGGCGACCCCAGCACCTCCAGCGTGAACCCCCACTCCCTCAAGCTTGAGCCCCCAGTCCCTCAGTCCCTACCAACTCTCACCTCCTCGCCGTGGTACTCCTCCTCCATATCCACCATCAGCACCGCGCCATACTCCCTCGCGTCAAAGCACGTGAGGGGCGACCCCAGCACCTCCAGCGTGAACCCCCACTCCCTCAAGCTTGAGCCCCCAGTCCCTCAGTCCCTACCAACTCTCACCTCCTCGCCGTGGTACTCCTCCTCCATATCCACCATCAGCACCGCGCCATACTCCCTCGCGTCAAAGCACGTGAGGGGCGACCCCAGCACCTCCAGCGTGAACCCCCACTCCCTCAAGCTTGAGCCCCCAGTCCCTCAGTCCCTACCAACTCTCACCTCCTCGCCGTGGTACTCCTCCTCCATATCCACCATCAGCACCGCGCCATACTCCCTCGCGTCAAAGCACGTGAGGGGCGACCCCAGCACCTCCAGCGTGAACCCCCACTCCCTCAAGCTTGAGCCCCCAGTCCCTCAGTCCCTACCAACTCTCACCTCCTCGCCGTGGTACTCCTCCTCCATATCCACCATCAGCACCGCGCCATACTCCCTCGCGTCAAAGCACGTGAGGGGCGACCCCAGCACCTCCAGCGTGAACCCCCACTCCCTCAAGCTTGAGCCCCCAGTCCCTCAGTCCCTACCAACTCTCACCTCCTCGCCGTGGTACTCCTCCTCCATATCCACCATCAGCACCGCGCCATACTCCCTCGCGTCAAAGCACGTGAGGGGCGACCCCAGCACCTCCAGCGTGAACCCCCACTCCCTCAAGCTTGAGCCCCCAGTCCCTCAGTCCCTACCAACTCTCACCTCCTCGCCGTGGTACTCCTCCTCCATATCCACCATCAGCACCGCGCCATACTCCCTCGCGTCAAAGCACGTGAGGGGCGACCCCAGCACCTCCAGCGTGAACCCCCACTCCCTCAAGCTTGAGCCCCCAGTCCCTCAGTCCCTACCAACTCTCACCTCCTCGCCGTGGTACTCCTCCTCCATATCCACCATCAGCACCGCGCCATACTCCCTCGCGTCAAAGCACGTGAGGGGCGACCCCAGCACCTCCAGCGTGAACCCCCACTCCCTCAAGCTTGAGCCCCCAGTCCCTCAGTCCCTACCAACTCTCACCTCCTCGCCGTGGTACTCCTCCTCCATATCCACCATCAGCACCGCGCCATACTCCCTCGCGTCAAAGCACGTGAGGGGCGACCCCAGCACCTCCAGCGTGAACCCCCACTCCCTCAAGCTTGAGCCCCCAGTCCCTCAGTCCCTACCAACTCTCACCTCCTCGCCGTGGTACTCCTCCTCCATATCCACCATCAGCACCGCGCCATACTCCCTCGCGTCAAAGCACGTGAGGGGCGACCCCAGCACCTCCAGCGTGAACCCCCACTCCCTCAAGCTTGAGCCCCCAGTCCCTCAGTCCCTACCAACTCTCACCTCCTCGCCGTGGTACTCCTCCTCCATATCCACCATCAGCAGCGCGCCATACTCCCTCGCATCAAAGCACGTGAGGGGCGACCCCAGCACCTCCAGCGTGAACCCCCACTCCCTCAAGCTTGAGCCCCCAGTCCCTCAGTCCCTACCAACTCTCACCTCCTCGCCGTGGTACTCCTCCTCCATATCCACCATCAGCAGCGCGCCATACTCCCTCGCATCAAAGCACGTCAGGGGCGACCCCAGCACCTCGAGTGTGAACCCCCACTCTCTCAGGGCAGCGAACAGCCCGTGAAAGTTGGTGTGCGGGTGGTCGCCGTGCCAGTCCAGAATGTCGTTCCGCACATCTAGCGAGTCCCTGGGGGGCGAGTAGGACGAGCAGCCCAGGGGCGGAGACGGGGTGGGGGAGAGGCGGAGAAGGGAGGAGAGGGAAAAGGAAGATGGTGGAAGTTGGTGTGGGGGTGGTCGCCGTGCCAGTCCAGAATGTCATTCCGCACATCCAGCGAGTCCCTGGGGGGAGAAGAAGCAGAGGCCAGCAAGGGGATCGGAGAGAAAGGGCAATCCCAACCACAGGAACGAGGTGAGAGAAGCAAAGAGCCCAGCACCTCGAGCGTGAAGCCCCACTCCCTCAGAGCAGCAAACAGCCCGTGGAAGTTGGTGTGGGGGTGGTCGCCGTGCCAGTCCAGAATGTCATTCCGCACATCCAGAGAGTCCCTGTGGGAGATGGTGAGGGGGTGTGCAGAGGAGACGCAGAGATGGTGAAAGTTGATGGGTGGTCGCTGTGCCAACCCGGGCGAGAATGCCATTGCGCACATCCAGATAGTGACGAATTTCTCCGGGGTGTGATGAGACGGATTGGTGTGATGAAATGGAATCGATTCCAAGAAGAGGGAGAGAACGCGGCCCTATACACTGCCTTGAGGGACAGCCACAACGCACCTGGGGATGTACGCTGGGGGGTAGCGCACGTTGTGAAACTGGTCCCAGAGCACACGGCGGTGGCGGGGAGGCGTGGGCATGATGGCAATACATTCACATGCACATGCGCAAGCAAGTGAATATCAGCGAAACACCTCAGGGCACTCACCTCGGAATGTACCCCGGGGGGTAGCGCACGTTGTGAAACTGGTCCCAGAGCACACGGCGGTGGCGGCATGGTGTGGGCATTGTAGTGATACGTTCTCATTCACATAACATGCATAGGTACATACACGTAGAGATACATACCAACAAGAGACCTCAACGCACGCACCTGGGGATGTACCCGGAGGGTACCGCACGTTGTGGAACTGATCCCACAGCACACGGCGGTGGCGGCATGGTGGTGTCAGCGTGACACTGGCAAGCACGGCTACAGCCTGAGGTGATAAAGCACACATGCACGCACCTGGGGATGTACCCAGGAGGATACCGCACGTTGTGGAACTGGTCCCACAGCACACGGCGGTGGCGGGGCGGCGTGGGCATGATGGCAACGCGGAGGGGCAGCGAGCAGTTGGTGGTGCGCGGGGTGGATTCGTTGGGACCGGGAGGAGAGACGACCGTGAAGTGAATGGCGCCTGCTATGGTGCCTGTGTCGGGGGTTGGGGGGGAGGAGGGGAGGGAAATCGTGGGTGCAAAAAAAGTAGGGAATAAGGGAAATAAGGGAGGAGGGTGGTGGCAGCAAGAGGGCATGATGGCAATGCGGAGGGGCAGCGAGGGAGCAGTTGGTGGTGCAAGGGGTGGCTTTGTTGGGGTTGGGGGGAGATACGACCGTGAAGTGAATGGTGCCTGATACGGTGCCTGGCGTGGGGGGAGGGGGAAGGGAGCGGAAAGGGGAGGGGGAAGTGAGTGACGAGGGGTATGAGAAGCCTGATTGCCAGATTGACAAGAAGCCTGATTGCCAGATTGACAAGAAGCCTGATTGCCAGATTACGGCCACAGCACGTGGGGTATGAGAAGCCTGGAGAGGCGTGTGTTTTGCCATACTACCATCCCTTACTTTTTCCCAACCGTATTGCCCCCCCTTCATCCCATTCTCCCTCTCTTCCAAACAGAATGTCCCCATTCCCACCCCATTCTCTTGCTCACCGTTGAGGTGCCTTGCAGCGGGGTGCACCCTCAGGTAGATCCCCAGATTGCCGGACCACGGCCAGAGCACCGCCGGGTAGGAGAAGCGCACATGGAGCACCCGGTGGAACGGTGGAGAGGTGGAGGAAGAATTCGAGGTGGCAGAGGTGTTCAGAGAACCGCCATCTGTGGCTGTGCTACCATCTGTAGCTGTGCCATCCGTGGCTGTGCTGGTGAGGTTGACCTCTGTGGGCACCCACACAGGCGGGGCAGCGAGCCAGCCCGTGACGCCCATGCCGTTGAGAAGAGTGACGTTGATGATGAGGGGGAGCGCGGAGGCGAAGAGCGGCTGGCGGCACCACGGCCACGCGTAGGGGCAGTCTGTCAGGTCGAGGGAGGATGGATGGACGGAGGCTCGTGGCGTGTAGCTCGCTAGGATGGCGTGAGATCGCAGGCTGGGGGGGTGGGTGGAAGGGGACAGGGAACGGGGGAAAGGACAGAGTGCAGCACGGGGTTGGGAAGGAGGCGAAGAGTGGCTGGCGGCACCACGGACACGCATAGGGGCAGTCTGTCAGGTCGAGGGTGGATGGGTGGACGGAGGCCTGAGGCGTGTAACTTGCTAGGATGGTGTGGGAGCGCAGACTGGGGGAGGGAGGGGGGTGGGGAGAGGACAGAGTGCAGCACAGGGTTGGATTGGAACGAGGCGAAGAGGGGCCAAGGCGCGCGCGTGGACCATGGCGCGCACGTGGACCAAGGCGCGCGCGTGAAGCACACTGTAGTCTGTACACAATACAAGACCCTGGACACTGCACTGTTCCACACTCACAGGTTGAGTTGCCCGGAACCCTGCTCGAACATATGTGGCCCGTTCAGCCTGTCAGCTCCTTCGACCAACGCCTGCTTCATACTCGCAGGGTTCAGCACCCCTCCAGGCCCCCACCGCACGGCTTCCGGCACAACGCTCGCTAGAAGACAAACCGCGCCGGCCACCACAGGGCTTGCGACGGACGTCCCTGATAGGCTCTTGCACCCACCGTTGATCTTCGAGCCGACCACCTCCCGCCCGTAGGCGACTATGTCCGGCTTCATTCGTCCGTATCTGAGAGGGGTGGAATGGGTGGGCGGCAGAGAGTGGGGAGAGTGGGAGGCTTTTGACAGGTTTGACAGTGAAGGGTGCACAATAGAGGGCTTTAAATTGGTGAGCGAGTAGCAGGGGCGAGAGAGAGGGGTTGTCTTACAGTGGTGTGAGTGGCTCCCTCAAAATCCCCATCCGTACCTCCCACATAACCCCCCTCATCTTCCCCCCTCCTTTCCCCCCCAGTTCTCTCTCCCTACGTCCACACCACATACCCGTGTGGCAGCTCCCACGTGGTCACGCCACAGGAAGAAAATGACGAGATGTGCGCTTTTAGTTAATACCCCCCACCCCACCCCGAACCCCGCACCACTCTCTCCCTCATCCCCCCCTTCCACCCTGCCGCTCCCTCCCTAAAACACCCCGTTCCTTCCATCTCCCTCATACCCATGCGGTAGCTCCCATGTGGTCATGCCACGGGAAGAAAACGATGCAATGTGCAGAGTATAGTCGATGCCGCCCACCCCGATCACATCGTTTTCTCTCCCTCCATCCCCACCCGGCATAGCACGTACCCGTGAGGCAGCTCCCATGTGGTCATGCCACGGGAGGAGAACGACGCGATATGCAGCGTGTAGTCAATACCCCCCACCCCGATCACATCGTTCTGGTCCGCGGGGTTGTTGAGTGTGCCGTACAGCGGCCCGTCATTGCCAATTGCTGATACCATCAGAATGCCGTTACCTGTCACCTCCCACACCTGCAAGGGGGAGGAGGATGGACGGTGGGGTGGTGGGTAGATGGATGCATGGCTTGCATGCAATGTGGCGTGTGAGTAGACTGTAGCATGCATATTGAATCTGCGGGGTTGTTGAGTGTGCCGATGGCCATGGAGGGGGCCGTCGTTGCCAATGGCTGATACCATCAGAATGCCGTTACCTGTCACCTCCCACACCTGGGGGGGCAGGGGGCGGGGGAAGGAGGAAGTCGGGAAGGACAGGGGGAGGGAGGGGGGACGGGGAACGGGGGACGGGGGAGGGAAGAGGGGGGCAATGGGGGGAGAAAGGGCTGTGGGGGTGGTGGGAACGTGACGTGTGGGTCGACTCAAGAGTGTAGGCCCCCCACCCACACTCCCACCTATCAGGCCCCACCTTCCTCACAGACGGCCTGTCAAGGTAGTCTTCTCACCCTCCCCCGTGTTACCTACCCTACCCACCCCTCCCCATCCCTCCCCACCCTACCGCACCTCTCAGCCTTATTCCACCTCACAAACAGCCGATTGGGGAAGTCTGCCCCCTCCTTCCCCTCCCAAACCTTTCTCTCTGATCTAAGTGTCCCCCCCCCCCCTCCCCCTCCCATGCTCCCTTTCTTCCCCATGTCCCCCTCCCCACCCCTCCCCACCCCTATCCAACTCTCTCCACCCAATCCCACCCACCTTCTCCACAAACGGCCGGTCGAGGTAGTCAGGCCCCCCGATGCTGAGGTTGAGCACGTTCATGCGCGTGAGAATGGCGTAGTTAAACGCGTCTAGGAACCACGATGTGTAGGAGACCTGAGAAAGAAAGAGGAGGGGCGAAGGGGGAGAGGTAGTCAGGCCCCCCGATGCTGGGGTTGAGCACGTTCATGCGCGTGAGGATGGCGTAGTTGAAGGCGTCTAGGAACCATGACGTGTAGGAAACCTGATGACGAGGGAGTACGTAACAAGTGACAGTGGGGGGGGGTGAAGAGAAGGGGAAGGAGGGAGGGGGGAAAGGAGGAGACAGAAGGAAGGGGATTCGCCAGCATGATGATTCCAGCCACCTATATGTGCATGAGCTTAAAGCATCTCTAAGAGCTTCAAAAAAATACAAGACTTCAAATCAAACGGACCCCAGCTGACCTGAGCGTTGGTGAAGACTCGGAAGGCGTAGATCTCAGCATTGGGGGCGAAGCCACGGCAGTGGGAGTCGTGGCTGGCGTTCACCCGCATTAGTTTGAGAGGTCACTCATTGCCCAACCTAAGGTTAGAACAACAGTGTGCGTTCAGGTACGCTTGGAATCACCTGTGCGTTGGTGAAGACTCGGAAGGCGTAGATCTCAGCATCGGGGGCGAACCCGCGGCAATGAGTGTCATGGCTGGCGATCACTCCTGCCACGAACGTGCCGTGGCCCAGGCTGTCGTTTAGCGTGTCCTCATTGGTCCAGTTGGTGCGCTCCTGGGAGGGGGGGAATGGGGGGATTGGATGATTGAATGGGGGGAACTGCATAACATACGCCTTTTTTTCTTCTTCTTTTTTCGCTCCAAATCGGTTTGCTTGATATAGCCAAAGCGGGGTTGGTGCTGATGACTTTATTCTCTGACTTATGTAAGGATAGGGTTGGTCTAATGAGTTCTTTCTCACCTTGATATTGCGGAAGTGGGGGTGATCTGCTCGAATGCCCGTGTCAAAAACGGCCATTTTAACGTTTGACCCAGTGAAGCCCTTGGCCCACAGCCGTTCCGCGTGGAACAGAGACGTGATCTGAGACTTGTGCGCCTGGCACAGGGACGGAGGGGTGCAGAGCGGTGAGGAGGGATGGAAGGGGTTAAACTCACGACCACAGGTCCTCTTGAGACGAGCCCCAGTGAAGCCCTTGGCCCACAGCCGTTCCGCATGAAACAGAGACGTGATTTGAGATTTGTGCGCCTGTAGATGGGAAGGAGAATGGAAGTAAGCAAACATGTGAATTCAACACGAGCCCCAGTGAAGCCCTTGGCCCACAGCCGTTCCGCGTGGAACAGAGACGTGATTTGAGACTTGTGAGCCTGGCACAGGGAGGGAAGGTTGCAGAGCGGTGAGGAGGGATGGAAAGGAGTTGACGACCAGATCAGCTTGACAGGAGCCCCAGTGAAGCCCTTGGCCCACAGCCGTTCCGCGTGGAACAGAGATGTGATCTGAGACCAGCCTGCATCAAGCCCTACCTGCCTCAGTTCCCACCTCCCTCACTTCCCACCTCCCACGATTTTTACCTGCATCAGTTCCCACCTGCATCAGTTCCAACCTCTCTCGATTCCCACCTGCATCAGGTGTCGGCGGTTGACAGCAGTAGCAGACACATTCCAGGCCCTACTGAGAAACGACCCAGCAGCAGCGGCCAGTTCACTTTGAAGAGTCACATGCCTTTCCTCAAACGACTCTTCCAAATGCCTCCCCTGCAGCTTTCGCCTCTTTTGCTTATTCCACCTCCTCCTTTCCTCCATACTCCTTGCTTCCATCCCGCTCTCCACCCATCTCAACTCCCTCGCGCCCACACGCATCCTATCCTCTTCCTCCTCCTCCGCGTCCTCCTTTCGCCTGCCTCTCTTCCCCTCGCCCCCAACCCCAAAACCCTGAACCCTCCCAGTCAAACCCCTAGACCCTCCAACTCTTCCCTCGGGAATCTCCCCTTCCTCAAATGACATTCTCGTCCGCAGCCTTCCAGGAGGTTTCCTCACCGGCCCTCTCACATCCCACCCTCCCCCTTCCTCCTCCTCCCCCCAACCTTCAATCCATGGGTCCTGTTCAGTCTTATCTGCCTCTCCTCCTCCAATGCCTTCTCCACTCCCTCCACTTCCTCCTCCTCTTATACCTCTCTCTCCTTCCCTCTGTTTTCCTCCATCTCCTCCTCTCCTCCTTTCGTTTCCAACACCTTTTCTCTCCCCCCCTTCCCTCTTCCCTTCACTGTACATCAGTGAACGAGTGTACTTCATCTGACGGTGCACATCCTTCACAAACGGGACGGCCTCAATCCGACGCTTCAGATCCTCCCACTCATTACCCTCTGTCCCCCTCTCCCCGTGCTCCCCTTCCGTCTCAGCTCCCTCAACCAGCAAAACGCCAAAATCCGTTGGAAAGGCCATGGCTGGATTCGTCCTTTCTACCCAATGCCATCTGGCTGCACCCGATTGGCCAATCCCTGACTGACTGCCAGAGCTTCCTGATCTGTCAAAGCCTCCTGATTGGCTGGCGTCCGGATTTTGGGGAGATTCTAGAGCGTCTAACAGCCGTTGCCGATGCACCACCACAGGTTCGTACGAAGTGAACCGAACTATCCATTCGTCTAGCACAGGCTGCAAGCGTACTTCCCGAACCTGAGCCTCTGAAGCCTTTTTTCCGAGCCTATATGTACCTTCCCGAGCCTGTTCTCCTGCCTTAGGAACCTCCTCTGCTGTACTGAAAGCTTCAGTCCGAGACGAACGGATTGGAACGGTTTCCGTCTGACTGGTGCCTGCTTCTGTTCCTCCCTTCCTCTCTGCCTGTTCGTCTTGCCATCCCTCCGTCCAAACCTCTAATTCCAACCCTCTTCCCTGCTCCAATCCCGAGCCTGACTCCGACCCTCTTCCCGAACCTGGCCCTGAACAGCGCTCGCCCTGCACAGGAATCTGGTCATTATCATCCGCCTTATAAGCTGTCACAAGAGGCTCTTTCCAGGTCGAGCATGCGCGCGTATCGGAGCAATTCCTTTCCGCTGCACAACCTGCAGCATCCAGCCAGCTCCTGGGACCGCACTGACAGACAGACGTGTGCTTTTCAGCGAGGCTTGCAAAGCAAGCAAACCTTTCATGTTCCCCGTCTTCCTTTGCTGCGCCTGGTGCTGCTTCGGGATGATCGCCAAATATTCTGCTCTTGCAACACCTGCTGCTGCTGCTGCTGCTGACGCTGCAGATGCTGATGCTGCTGCTGCTGCTGCAGTTGCGTATTCTTTGCGAAAGTGAGCTCAAGGGAACAATGCAGCTGCTATCCAGGTGGATATCCGTCGTTCCTGCGACCACTCGTATCGCCAACGACGTGATTGTAGCGAAGATCAAACCTAGGGTGCATAGACTCTCGTGGCTCGGCGAAGCGCCACGTGGCAGCAACGTTCCTTCACGTGCTGGCCACGCGGAGCGAGCCATCAAGGCAACGCACCTTGTGCGGAATCAGAGCATTCCTCTCAGAATCAACTAAGAATCTGGAGAATCAAAAATGAGAAAAATTTCTTCAGCAGCGAGTACTCCCTGCGGACACGACAATTAAGCATGTAGTTTCTTCTGCACGATGACTACGTCTTACTTGACGAAATACGTCACTATTGGAGAGATATTAGCCTGATTCCATCGTCCTCTAAGAAGCCAAGCTGCCTAAGACCCTTGATCCGTGACAATTAACGCCTAGCTGCAAGAGCCTGTGAATGACAAGGACCATGGTACTCGCCGATCAGTGATGATCAAATCTTTGTGATCAAGTTGCCAGGCATGAAAGTGCTAAACATTTTACCCAACCACTCTAAAGAGAATGTCACAGTTGCGCACCGTACAAAACCTAAGTGCGCCGCATTTCTGAAGCCCTGGATAACCAAGCGTGCGGAGCGTAGTTTTCGAGGCTGAAGGGGTTGCAGCAGCTCGGTTGTCAGAGCGGGTTCGGCAATTTTGAGGAAAATTCGAAGCCCAGGCGAAAACATGATTTGTAACGCTGTGCGTTTCGCAGGGTATGACTGGTACACAGTTTCGCGTATCAGCAGATTTCAGTTATCGAAGTTTCATTCAACCATTATCGTCAGTCCACTTTGACTTCTTTCTTTAACGAAATTAAATTTGAACAACCTTTGCAACGCACTTGAGCGCACATGAAACGGCAAATCACCTATTATGCACACAGAAGGGCACACAAGGGAACACATGAACGAAGGGACAAAACTCCCCAGGAAACCCAAACATTTCAACAAAATTGCATCCTTCACAAGAGGATGAACGGTGCCTTCACATAGGCTAGGCGACTGGAAACGCCCACCACTGAAGGCAATGTGGCAAAAAACGAAATACCCGCCACATAAAAGTGGTTCCGCTGCTGCCTGCAGCACCGGGATCTTGAGGCGCCTCAAGTGGAAAAAAACAAACTTTTTGCTGCTCGACGCAGCACTGGGCAAAGTTGCCCCTCCGTATACGTTGCACATGTCAGCAGAGCTGACTCACACAGAAACCGCTGCTCCAGCCACTCCCACCACCAGCAGCAACCAGCATCAACATCAGCATCAGCAGCTGCTGCTGCTGCTGTTGCTACTAGTGGTAACCAGCGTCATCAGCAGTAACCGTGTTGCCTGTACGCTCGCTCCTCTGCCAATCTTCGCATCTCCAACCCAATCTGGCTCACGTGGCTCACACCACTCCTCATCACCATGCCACGCCCTTGGCTCGCATGCTCTGTAGACACGGCTACACCCGGCGCACCTCCTTCCACAGCCTCACGGCCGAATCCTGTAACCGCGCTCGGCTTCTTGCCGTATGCGGTAACGGCGCTCCTCGGCTCGGTTGTCGCAAACGGGTTACCACCAGGCACAGCACAGGGGGCAGCAGCGGCGGGCGGTGCAGGGAACATGGCAGGCACAGGGCGTGCTGCATTGAGAGGCAGGAAAACCGGCCGTGAGACCGCAACGGAGGGTTGCTGACGAGGCTGCTGATGGGGCTGCTGATGCTGCTGGTGACGGGGTTGCTGATGCTGCTGCTGGTGCACCTCCTGTCCTCGCCGACCGAACGCAGCTTGCTGCCGCGACGCGAGCCCAAACAGGCCAGCAGAATCACCAGCAGCGACAGCACCAGCCAGAGCCCCCGGGCTCGCTCCCAAACCTCCAGCAAGCTGCGTGCTGCTCCCGGACCTTGGAATCTGGTTCGTGGTCCTCCTGTACGGGCCAGCCCACTTGGTCCGGAGATACTCGGCCCGGCGCCAGGGCGGCAGGTGCAGCCCCTGCTCCCTCAGACTCTGCCTTGTGGCATCTGCCAGCACTTCAGTGATCTTGAGCAGGCGGTTGAGACGGCCGACGAAGATGATGGGAGCGGAGTGGACGACTGCGTCGAAGGCGAAGGTGGGGCGAGCGATTTGGAACTGAGCTCGGAACTCAATGTCTATGATGATTCGATCGGATGGTGAGAATGGTGACGGGTTGGCAGCAGTGGCGGCGGTGGCGGTGGCAGAAGCGCTGGTGCTGGTGTTGTTGACCGTGCTGCTGCTGGTGGTGGTGCTGTTGTTGCCGTGGCAGGGCAGAATGACGTCTATGTACTCGTATGTGCCGCCAGGGAGGCCCTTGGAGTGCTCCCATCTCGCCTTGCACACGGCAGCATCGTACCCCTTGGACCGAAGCAGGCACATCACTGCTCGCCTCAAATTGCCGTTGCTGCCGCTGCTGGTGGCGCCACTGCTGCCGCTGGCGCCTGCAGCATTTGAGGAAGCTTCCTTCTTGGCTGTTTTGAGGGCGGCGATGACGTCAGCGAACAGCTGGCACTCGTCCGCGGAGGTGCAGGCGCTGAGGGACTGGGGGAGGGGCGCAAAGGGGAAAGGGCGGAGAGAAACGGGGAGGGGCGCGGGTGAGTTGAGCATTCCACGGTCGATAGGGGGAATAACGGCAGCTACATCAAATCATTCTCATTGGCCATCCCCATCCCCATTCCGCCTTCCCCCTTTCCCCTATCCTCTTTCCCCCTCACCTCAATGTGGCTCGAGACATCCCCCATTCCGCACCATCCGCCGCACTCCCCCATTCGCGGAGCCTGCGCGTCCTGCTCCGCCATGCGCGCGTACATCGCATCCGCGTTATAGCCACCCTCGCTGCCGTGAATCGCGTCAAGCAGGCGGTGGTCGAGCGTGTGGCTCTCAGCCGAGCCGGTCTCCATGAAATCGGACACCATCTCCGCCAAACACACGGACGACGGATCGTGCGCGCTGCCGGAACTGCACAGGGGAAGGAGCGGGAGGAGGGGGAGGGGGAAGTGGGGAAGGCAGGGAAGGGGGGCAAGGAACGGAAACGGGTAAGCCAGCGATCTAAGAGACAAAATGGGCTAATAACCATGGGAGTAGGGGCAGGCGGGGGTTGCGGGGAGGAGGGAAGTGATAACAGAAACATCATTGCAAACCTAAGTGCTTCGAAACACACCTGTTGCTGTCGTAGCTGCCGCCGCTCTTGGCGCCGTGACTTGCGGCGGTCTTCCCGTGACTGCCCGTCGGCCATGCCCCGTGGATTAAATGCAGCCCTCGGCTGCTGCCGCTGTTCGCCGCAGTCACCGCCGCAGTTGCCGCTGCTGCGCCATCCCCCGATTTTGGCGCTGCAGACTTTTCCGCTGCCGACCCGCCGACTGCTGTAATTTGCGCTGCGAGAAGGGTGCCGCTAGCGCAGCCGCGGCTCCGTTCGCCGGTATTGGCGCCCGCAGCTGCGGTGCGAAGGATTTGCTGCAGCGCGCCAATTCCAGCGAGCGGAAGACGCGGCGGGTTGTGCGGCGAGATCGACGGCTGGTTGAACAGCAGCGATTTCACCGCGGGGGACGCGGGCGTCTGATGCGGCAACAACGGAGCGGGAATCGCGCCGGCGATTGCGGATAGCTCTGCAGTTAACAGCAGGTCCGCCGGTTTTGTCGCGACATGGTGGTCAACGGCAAAAGACAGGTACTCCTGCTTGCTGAAGAAATTTCCAGCAGCAGATGCGGCGGAAGATGCGGCGGGAGCAGTTCGGAAGTTACTGCTAGCGGTAGCGGGCCCGTGTGCGGGCCAGATGTTAAAGATTCCAGGCATTCTGCGTGTCTCCTGCGAGCCGCCGCCGCGTTCGGTGCGTGGGTGGCGTGTTAGGGACGGACGGCATGCAATCAGAATCAGTCAAAGGAGTCTAAGACGTTCTCAGACGTGACTGGTGTCTGGGCGAATTGAGTGATCTATCGCCGTACGACAGACAATTGAGGGCGAGAAGAAATCGCGAGGGAAATCGCGAAGAAGGGAGAGACGCGAGAAGAGGACGCCTCGCGAGATTAGTGACTGAGGTCTGAGGTATGAGGTTCGAGGTATGGCTCTTTTTGTACGACTTTGCCTTATGCTGGTCAGTCAGTAGCAGTCTAGGCAAGCATAAGTGGCGACCATCGAAATTCCGTCGGGCAACGGAAGCGATGCGATGTGAGCGACAGAGACGGCTAAGTTCCGAGGCGAGACCAGAAGGACCAGAAGCAGAATGAGCAGATAGCAGAGTGAGCAAAGGGAGGAATTGCTCGGAGGTCGAGACGGTGTGAAATGTGCGGAAATCAAGGAACAATGGAGTGATTCCCTCGCGCGATTGGCTCTGGAAGTATGCCTGTTCGTGCCGAGGTAAGTTGACCAGCTTCAGTGTCGCATGGGGTTCTGATCCAAGTTCGATGTCACATGGGGGAAGGGGAGGGGAACGTTGTCGCGGAGGGAAGGCTAGGCTACTGTTGAAGTGGATGATGAGAGGGGAACGATCTCGACTCGAGGGCTTGGCGTTTCTCTAGGGCCAGCGGGGAGCGGAGCTGCTGCGGACCTGCTGCGGAGCTACGAAGAGAGCAGGAACCAGACCAGATGACCAGCGGAGCACGAAAGCAATTTTGGAGGAAGTGCGGATTGCGTCGAAACGAAGGGTTTGGTACGTTACAGAAAGGTAGTGAGGTTGTATGACGGTGCAGAAGTGAGGTGGAGAGAGTGACAGTACTTTCTGCTAGGGTGGTATGAATGGAGTTGTGATGATGGAATGGATGGGATGGAAGGAAAATGAAATCGAGGGGGATCATATGTGGATGGGATCGAGGTGGATGGAGGTTGAAAACACGCAACCGCACGAGGTGCAGTTGTGACGTCAAGGCGACGAGTGCGTGGAATATGTGGGAGCGGGGTTCGGGGGGCGGGGGGTAAGTGTGGCGGGAGGAATGCGCGCAGCGGATGAGTCACAATCACGTGAATAAATCAGTTGCTGACCTGGGCGCTGTTCGGCGCGGGTGGGCTGGGCACCGCGGGTTTGGGCAGGGGCACGCATAGAGGGAATGCATGGCATGCGCGGAATCGATACATGTGGCGCATGCGTCTGAATTCGCTGGTTCGTTTCAACTGGGGCGGGGTTTCGGTTCGGCTCAGTTGGCTGTGCGCCGAGGCAGACCGCGACGTAGAAATGCGAGCCGCGTGTCATGATTCCGTCCTCATTCTGCGTGTGATACCTTTTGGTGAGGTTTGCTGGCAGTTGACGAGGAGAGGTTGGAAAATCAACGAGTCAATGTTGTGTAAGGGCAGGTTTCTTCCCCACATTACTGTTCTGTACTGGTTCCGGCTTTGGTCTGATCGCCAACCCTGCCCTGCTAAGCGTTCAGCAGTCGCACCAGTCGTAACACCAGGCGCGCCAATAGCAGTTTGAGGGTGGCGTTGCTGGTAACGAATGTTGTTTGCGTGAAAAACACTCATCTTCCTGATTCACGAAACGCGAAACCATACACCTCACGAGCTTACCAGTGTCGGTAACCCCTGCGCATCGCCCATGTCTCTCCAGCCTGTGGGAGTTGCCCCATTCAAGTTTGACCAACAGATGGCAACAGTTGGCATGTGGGTACAATGGAGTGAACCTGGGAACTCACTGGTGCTTGCCACAACAGAACGGGCAGCTTCCAGGTCAGCTCTGCAGGTAGAAAGCTGACTGCCAGGGCACAATTTCTGGAATTGTTACATGCTCATGACAATGGAAGGGCAGGCAACCTTTTGACCTCCAATCCCAGCAGCTGAGAGCCGACTCTTGGCAAGCTGATGCCTCTTCCAGAGAACGCCAAGGTCGGTTCGTCTGCTTTGTAGGTTGGACCAAAATTCCACTGTAGAGTCGTACGTACCAAGCTGGCTTTACCCACAAATGACGTGGCGCAACCTGTTTGACAAATCGGGACCAGCTCCAACACAGCGAATCTTCCAACTCTGCTTCACGACTTGCCCCGCGACTCCACGTTCCCGCCATTTCCGGCCGAGGCAATCCATAAGGCGTTGTTTTTGTGACGTGACACACGGGGTCCTAGGCACGTCACGGAAAAATGCTGGAAGGATATTCTGCGCGCTAAAATGGAAATCCAAATCGCAGGGAAGAGCAATCTGCGAAGACGTCAGAAATACGTCATCTGGTAATACCTCACACGAGAACCAAGTCACTGCTAGATACGTGTGAGTCAGCAACCTAATCCGTTCCTGGTCCACTAGACTAGACTGAGGGTGAACGTCACAAGATCCGCTTTCTGTTCTTCCACTCGCATCTTGCATCAAGGTTCTCGATAGTGAAAACCTCATATTCATAGTCTCGCAAAGGAGCGACAAAACCAGAACATGAGAGCCCTAAAACGCTATATATATATATATATATATATATCCTGCTTCATATCATATACACTTTGACTTCATGAGAGGTCCATTTACTACATAATATGTCTCAGCTCCCAGTTTTCATATTCATGGATTTATTGCACATATATATTTCAACGTCCATAAAAATCAAACGGTCACCCCTTCACTATTATTTGTGTTATGTTTGTTGTTTCAATGTCCCGTATATCTCGTATGGTAATTCATGGCTCCTATATTTTCTAATGAGAATGTGTGGTACAGGTCGCTGGCTATAAACACCACCACCTAGTTCATGGCGTTATAGTATTTGTGTAAGGAGAATTCATTTTCCTCACTTCGCGTCCCTGCTTACCGCGTACATGCCCGTTCCCGCCATCGGCACCCATCCGTGAACGTTATCCGCTCGCGACATTCGCCTCGACCACGACTCCCGCCACTGTTCACGATGCGACCCAACCTCACGGTTCGGTTGGTAACCCGCGCTCCGGACCTCCGCCTCGACAATTCCCAACCTCGGCGCTAGGCCCGTAGCGCACCCCAATTTCCCGCATTACCGTTACCACGCTAGCTTCGCTATATAACTTCGCTCGTGCTTTTCGCTCAACTGTATTGATTGCTTCGATAGTGCAATTCTCACTCGCTCGTTCAATTGCATACGTAACACTTGGTATTCAGAGCCTAGGATCTCCTCTCGGACCGCGTCCACACCTTCACTTCCCCATTATCTCAATTTTTGGGGGGGTAGACGTCTCTCAGCGAACAAGCACCGCCGCTCGAAGTGATCTCTCGTAAGCACGCACGGCCACGACAGAGGCTCTCGCTGAGCTTGCCCGACACCCCCGCCATGGCCGAAATAACCCTCGCGACATTGACGCAGGAGCAGCTCGACCGTCTCGTGCGCCAACTCGAGGATTCGGCGCTCGAAATCGCGACACTCACGGCGGAACGAGACTCCGCCCGCCAGCAATCAACGGTGAATGCACCAGCTCCATCACAAGCACCCGCAAATGCACCTGTGCAATCAGAAGAACCGATCGTCATCTCATCAGGCACACCGACGCAAAACGACAGCGTGGGACAGCGCTCAGGCGCAGCCAGTGATGGCGCCGCTCAATCGATGCCTGGCATGGAGAGAAATCGGGCCGCGCCAAGCCCGCGTGGGCTTCGCGAAGCTCGTCGGCACGTGGAGTTTGCAGCAACAAGTGGCAGCCACTCAAGACGCAGCGCCCGCCCTGTTTCGATCCGAGCCAACGTGGAGGTCCGCCGGTTCAATCGTGGGTCTTCACGATGAACGTTTTCTTCGACGCGAATTACGTCGAGTCGGACGCAGCGAAGATTCGCTACGCTGTTTCACTGCTAAGGGGCCCCGCCATGGACTGGTGGCGAGTCATCGTGGCGTCGCCACGCGCCTACGAGCCACCGTCGCAAGAGGAAGGGCCCACGGGTCCATCCGTCACATGGAGTTCATTCTGCGAAACAGCCCAGTACAGCACGTGGGATGCGTGGTGCGCAGGGCTTCGGGCGCGATTCGAGCCGATCGCGGTTTCTATTTCGGCGCGTCAGAGACTGCGTACTTGGCGGCAGCTCGGGTCGGTTCAAGACTACACGAGTGGTTTTCTCGCATTATGCGAGCAAGTCGGCTACATGCACGAAGCGGAGCGGGTGGACCGTTACGTTGGAGGGCTGAAGCCGGACATCTCGCACGAAATCATGCTACGCGGACTCTCGAATTTCAACGAGATTAGTCGACGGCACCCCGCTGGCCATACGGGAGAAGGTGGAAAGAGTAGAAGTCCGTTGCGGGGGGAACTTTGGGTTTACACAGGAAATGCTCACGACGACACTGGATGGGCACGACGTATTACTGGGACGTGAATGGCTGCGACGGTATAACCCGCGAATCGACTGGACGACGGGTAGCTGCACTGTGCGAAGTAGCGGTAACTGGGTCGTGCTACCTCGCTGGCAGTCGCCCGAGTCTTCAACGGTCCACGTCAACGCCATCACGATGAAACGGGCTGTCGCCGCTGGAGCTGACGTGTACGCAGTGGATATAGCGTTGGTAGGAGAAGCAGAGCAGCCGAGCGATTTTCAGAAACTGTTGGCAGCGGTACCGCCCGAACTACAGGAACTGTTGAAACGGTACCCGGGGATTTTTACAGACGACTTACCGGAGGGACTGCCACCTCAGCGGGCACACGACCATCGAATAGAGTTAGGACCGGGGGCACAGCCAACTGTACAGCGACAATTCCGACTGACACAGCCAGAGCTCGATGAACTGAGGAAGCAATTAGATTACCTGTTAGAGAAAAAAAGCATCCGACCGAGCTCGTCACCGTTCGCCGCACCGATACTGTTCACACCGAAAAAAGACGGGGGTTTTCGCATGTGTATCGACTACAGAGCACTGAACAGGGTAACATTCAAATCGCGATACCCCTTTCCCCGCGCCGACGAACTGATAGATCAACTGCGAACAGCACGGGTCTTTTCGAAAATTGACTTACGCGGAGGTTACCACCAGATTCGGGTCGAACCATCGGACTGCGTAAAAACAGCATTTAGAACTACGTATGGGTCATTTGAGTACACCGTGATGCCATTCGGGCTGACCAACGCACCGGCGACTTTTCAGATGACCATGAACGAGGCATTTAGGCCGCTCTTAGATTAATGCGTGATAGTTTACCTCGATGACATCCAAGTTTACAGTCGCGATAAGCAGCAGCACTTAGCAGATCTGGAAGCAGTATTTAAAGTCTTAGACGGGCACAGACTCCTGACCAAGGGTTCCAAGTGCGAGTTCTTCCAGGATAGGTTAGAATTTTTAGGGCACGTTATTTCGGAGGCTGGAGTTGAGATCGACCCAAAAAAACTGGACACGCTAAAAGCATGGCACCCCCCGACGAACATCACGGAGCTGCAGAGCTTTTTAGGGTTCGTTAATTATGTGCGTCGGTTCGTCCCCGACATGGCACGGTTAACTGCCCCCCTGACGGATTTACTGCGGAAGGGGGTCGCTTTTACGTGGGGGGAGAAAGAGCATGCTGCCTTCTCTGCCCTGAAAACTGTTCTTTGTTCACCGCCCGTACTGCGCATCGCCGACCCACACCGCCCATTCGAAGTAGTTACAGACGCAAGCGACATCGCCATTGGAGCCGTACTGCTACAGGATTTCGGCAACGGTTTACAGCCCATCGCATACGAGTCACGGAAACTGCATCCGCCCGAGAAAAATTACCTGATACACGACCGCGAAATGCTCGCGATCGTGCATGCGTTCAAGGTCTGGCGCTGTTACTTGACCGGCGCAGACGTGACAGTACGGGCAGACCACAGATCACTACAGTACCTCCGCGCACAGCCCCACCTCAACCCACGACAGATCCGCTGGCTCGATTTCCTCGAGTCAAACTTCCACTACACGGTCACCTATAAAAAGGGAGCATCGAACATTGCCGACGCACTGACCCGCCCAACTGCCCAAATCCACGCCATACTACTCCCACAGACCAGCCCATTACTGACAGGCCTATTTACCCACGGATATCAGACAGACCCCTTCTTTACCGGAGGCAACTCGCAGCAGTTCGCAGCAGCAAAAGGGGTGTATTACGTAAAAACCGGCACCGACCGCATCTGGGTACCGGGCTACACTTTACTAAGGGAACTGTTACTACAGGAGGCACACGACGGGGTTACCTCAGGACATTTCGGGGTAGAGAAAACACGGCAGCAGCTGCAGCGGTATTACTACTGGCCCGAGATGCTGACCGACGTGCAACGACACGTGGCATCGTGTCTCACCTGCCAGCTCATGAAGTCGTCACGACAACGACCGGCAGGACAGTTGCAGCCGATACCACCCCCAGAGTGTGCTTGGCAGCAGGTGACGATGGACTTCGTCACGGGGTTACCGGCTGGAGCAAGTGGGAACGACGCGATCTTGGTCGTCGTCGATCGGCTGACGAAAATGGCACACTTCGCAGCCTGCAAGAAATCAATCACAGCCGAAGAAACAGCCCGCCTCTTCATCTCCACCATCGTTCGATTGCACGGGATACCCGCATCAATTATCAGCGACCGCGACACGAAATTCACCAGCAACTTCTGGCGAAACCTGTGGCAGCAGTTCGGCACGCGTCTAGAGTTCAGTTCATCATACCACCCCGAAATCGACGGACAGACAGAACGGACAAATCAGACCATGGAACAGCTCATCCGAGCCACGTGTGACGACCCGACCATGTGGGAACAGCAACTGCCACTCATCGAATTCGCGTACAACAACTCGCCATCTGCCACGACCCAACAGTCACCGTTTTACCTGAACTACGGACAAGACCCCACAGTACCCATGACCCCGAATCCCGAGAACCCAGTCCCACGCGCGCAACAGTTCGCAGAAATACTGCAAGCAGCACGGACCCGAGCAGCAGAAGCAATAAAAAAATCAAACGTCATCGCTAAGCGCAATGCCGACCGCCACCGCCGCCCCGTCACTTACCAACCCGACGACCTGGTATTACTCGACACTCAAAATCTCCGCCTGCCCATCACCCCAAAACTCCGCCCCAGATATTGCGGGCCATTTCGCATCAGCCACATGATCACACCCATCACTGCCCACCTCCTCCTACCTGCTGACTGGTACGTCAGCCCGTCATTCCACGTCAGCCTGCTTCGCCCATACGTGCCATCCACCAGCCAACTGCCTCGCAACCGCCCCGCCAGCATGACACGACCACCGACAGAGCCAATCATCACGCCCGAAAAAATACTGAGCCACCGAGTACGTGACCCACGGGGAGCCCGCAGGATCGAATTTCTGATCCGCTGGAAAGACCGCACGCCCACTGAAGACAACTGGGTTCCCCTGGATAGAGTCGAGAATCACCCTGTCCTAATTGAGTATCTGCGCAGCCGAAACTTTCGAGATGTACACGCGCTCTCGTAAGAGGGGCCTCCTTGGGGAGGGGGGTAGTGTAAGGAAAATTCCTTTTCCTCACTTCGCGTCCCTGCTTACCGCGTACATGCCCGTTCCCGCCATCGGCACCCATCCGTGAACGTTACCCGCTCGCGACATTCGCCTCGACCACGACTCCCGCCACTGTTCACGATGCGACCCAACCTCACGGTTCGGTTGGTAACCTGCGCTCCGGACCTCCGCCTCGACAATTCCCAACCTCGGCGCTAGGCCCGTAGCGCACCCCAATTTCCCGCATTACCGTTACCAAGCTAGCTTCGCTATAGAACTTCGCTCATGCTTTTCGCTCAACTGTATTGATTGCTTCGATAGTGCAATTCTCACTCGCTCGTTCAATTGCACACGTAACAATTTGACATGCACTATCAAGTCTGGTGATACATCACTATTTTTAGCTTAGTGGCCTATCTTTAGGCTGCACTTGCCAATAGCCACATACAACCCCACCAAAACCCACCCCACCACAGCACATTACTGCAAGCCTCGTCTGTGTTCCATCACTCCACACGTATAGTTTAGGGATTTTCATCGCGAGGCGCTTACCTGCTCACAGCGTTTCATTTTTCGCACGTCGTGCAATCAGAACGTTTGTAGGCGCGGGATCAGTTGCGCTAAGTTGACTGCTTGTTTTCTGCCGTGGCAATGGTCTAGAGACATCTCTGTGCTCCGATCTGACCTGCTATTGTGTCCGCCTTACTGCGTTACCGCTTTACCGCGTTACTGCCTTACCTTGTGCTTGGTTGATAATATTGCAGCTCTGTGTCTACCGCTGTGTCCGGCTTTGTGCGAGGCATTCAACTGCGTTGCGATTTTGGCGAATACATTGATAGCATAAAATATCGCGCTGGGTGTATGACCGTGCCGCGTGGTTTATGAGATTGCCGTCCTTCGGATCGATTCGCGGTTCCGCGAAATCCGTACCAATGTTGATCAATCTCTCGTCCCGGACCTCGTCTTTTTGCGCCGGCGGCGCGGTTGCCCCAGTGAAGGACGGCATTAATCGGTGGATCGCGTCAGATCCGCACAGGTCTGGTCCTTGTGTGGCGTCATCCCATTCCCCTCATGGTGAGTCGATCTGTACGCGCTATTAGCAGTTCGCTACCAGATTCGGGTGGATGGACTCTACATTCCATCTCTCTTACAGGTGCTGCTCTTTCCTAACTGCGTTACATCATTCCCGCCCCTTCGTCTTTCCTAACTACCGACAGACCCGGTTTCTCGCATTTCTCGCCTTTTTTGCCTTTTCAAACACCTTCAGGGATTCCCCTCTCTCGCGCCGCTATTCCCGCGCGCTCCGTTTCGAGCTCCGCCGTGACCCCCGCCGCGGCCTCCCGAAGCGCCGCATTTACGTCTCTCAGAAGCAGCAGCAGCGGCCAGAGGAACCGCGCCTGGCAGAACGTTCTTAAAACGCTCCCCGCTTTAGAGACCTCGCAGAACTCGCTCCGCGCGATACTAGCCGCCGCGGCCGCAGAAGGCGCCGCGGCTCCGGCCCCCGTCCACGAGGCGGCTTTAATCGACGGGAAGGCGATCGCGGAGGAGATTAAACGCGAGATTGCAGCGGAGGTAAAGCGGCTCCAGGCACTGCCGGGCGCGCACCTGACGCCGGGATTGGCGGTGGTTTTAGTAGGCGATAGGAAGGACTCGCAGTCGTACGTGCGTATGAAGAAAGCGGCGTGCGCTGAAACGGGGATAACGAGTTTCGGTGTGGATCTGCCGGCCGACGTGAGCGAGGAAGAGGTGGTGGCGGCGGTGCGGGAGCTAAACGACAACCCGGACGTCCACGGCGTGCTAGTGCAGCTGCCCCTGCCCAAGGTTCGATGGGGGTTCCGGGGTTTAAAGGATAATTCTGGTGGATTTGGGATGTGAGCGAGGAGGAGGTGGTGGCGGCCGTGAGGGAGCTAAACGACAACCCGGACGTGCACGGGGTGCTGGTGCAGCTGCCGCTGCCCAAGGTATGTGTATGCGCAGGGTTCTGGGTTTTATGTGGATTGCAAGCAGGGGTTCGGGTTTGGGGTTGGGGGTAAGCTTCTTTGTGCGGATGTGAACGGGAAGGTTAACGACAACCCGGACGTGCACAGCGTGCTGGTGCAGCTGCCCTTTTTCCCCCCCACCCCCCCACTCCTCCCCCTGTTCGCCCCACTCCCCCCTACTTTCGCCCCCTTCTCCCCCCCCCTCCTCCGCCGCAGCACATCAACGCGGAGCGGGTGCTAAGTGCGGTGAGCATAGACAAGGACGTGGACGGCTCCACCCAATCAACATCGGCCAGCTGTCAAGGCCCTCCTCCCCTCCTCTTGCCCCCCCTCCCCCCACCAGCACATTAATGCGGAGAGGGTGCTGAGTGCAGTGAGTATCGAGAAGGACGGGGACGGGCCAGAAGCCAAGGCCACTGAGGCACTCCCCCCCTTCCTTCCCCCATTCCCCCCTTCCTCCGCCCACCCATGCCCGCAGCACATCAATGCGGAGAGGGTGCTGAGTGCGGTGAGCATCGAGAAGGACGTGGACGGGTTTCATCCAATCAACATCGGCCAGACGTCAAGGCCCCTTTCTCCCCATCTCCCCCCCATGCTCCCAGCACATCAACGCGGAGCGAGTGCTGAGTGCGGTCAGTATCGAGAAGGACGTGGACGGGTTCCACCCAATCAACATCGGCCAGCTGGCGATGGCGGGCCGCAAGCCACTGTTTGTGCCGTGCACGCCCAAGGGGTGCATCGAGCTGCTTATCCGGAGCAAGGTGTGCTTATAACGGGGATGGGGGGTGGCCTTGTAAGGGGGATGGGTGTGGGGTGGGCTTACATTATAATGGCTGGAAAGAGGGGAAAGAGGGGAAAGAGGGGGAGGAGGGAAGAGGGGAGAGGTGGGAAGATGGGGGAGGAGGGAAGAGGGGGGAAGGGAGGGGAGGAGTGAAGAGCGGAGAGGAGGGAAAGAGCGGAGAGAAGGGAAAGAGCGGAGAGAAGGGAAAGAGCGGAGAGGAGGGAAAGAGCGGAGAGAAGGGAAAGAGCGGAGAGGAGGGAAAGAGCGGAGAGGAGGGAAAGAGCGGAGAGGAGGGAAAGAGCGGAGAGGAGGGAAAGAGCGGAGAGGAGGGAAAGAGCTCTGCTGGTGTCGTCATCAGCATCTCTCATCGTTTTGGCCCAAATATCTTCCAGTTTTGTGCCTGCTGCGCACTCACTGCTTCCAGTTTTGTGCCTGCTGCAGAACATGTGGTTAATCAATACTTGTTTCAGAAAGATATGCCTTATCCCTCCATCTGCACGTCTGTGTGCTCGGCTCTTCTGTGTGCTCGGTTCTTCTGTGTGCTCGGCTCTTCTACCTCCTGCAGGTTCCAATGGAGGGGAAGCGGGCAGTCGTGATTGGTCGGAGTAACATCGTGGGGACACCTGCCGCCATGCTGCTGCAGGTAAGAGCCTTGTCCGTCCGGCTCATCAGATCGTTGCTTCTCGTCAATGTGCCTATCTGGCTTTTCTTGTGCATCAATCTTCTGATTAGTTCTTTATTATTGTAAGCATACAGTGGCAAGATGGGAATCACAGTGTCATGAGCCATGGTTGCTGTATGGTAAGCATACAGTGGCAAGATGGGAATCACAGTGTCATGAGCCATGGTTGCTGTATGGTAAGCATACAGTGGCAAGATGGGAATCACAGTATATACTCTCCTGTTTGCACTTGAATTCAGTTCGAACCCATTTCCAACTTGTCCCGTACCCACATTCATCTCTTTTAGGAACCATCCCCATTCCGTCCCCTCTTTCTGTCCCCCGCTCTACCCGTCGTTAGAGGAACAACGCTACAGTCACAGTCGTGCTTTCGCGCACCAAGGACCCCCCTTCAATCACCTCTCCCCCCAACCCGTTCCCCTTTTTTCCTGTCACCCCTGTCTTTCCTTCCCCTCCTTAGAGGAACAACGCTACAGTAACGGTCGTTCACTCGCGCACCAAGGACCCTCCTTCAATCACGCGGGACGCCGACATTGTGATTGCTGCAGCAGGCGTGCCGAACCTGGTGCTGCTGCATTCTTGCACCAACGACCCCCGTTCTAACCACCTCTCGCCCCATCTCCCCCCCATCCTTTCTGCCCTCACTTCTGCTCTGCCCTTTCCTTCCCCTCGTTAGAGGAACAATGCTACAGTGACGGTCGTGCACTCGCGCACCAAGGACCCCCCTTCAATCACACGGGATGCTGACATTGTGATTGCAGCAGCGGGCGTGCCCAACCTGGTGCGGGGCGACTGGTTGAAGCCCGGATGTGTGGTGATTGATGTTGGGATCAACCCTGTCGATGTGAGTGGGTGGGATGGGGGGGGATAGGGAAGAGGGTCAGAGGGGGATGAAAGGGGGGGAGGACGAATAGGGGAGTAAGGGGGTGGTGCTGTGATTGCAGCAGCAGGCGTGCCCAACCTGGTGCGGGGCGACTGGCTGAAGCCTGGCTGTGTGGTCATTGGCATGGGGATTAACCCCATTGATGTGAGTGGGGGGAGGGGGGGGGTTGGGGAGGGGGAGGATGGGGAAGGGCGACTGGCTGAAGCCCGGCTGTGTGGTGATTGACGTGGGGATTAACCCTGTTGATGTGAGTGCTTGGGTTTGGGGGGAGGCAAAGGGGGTAAGGGAATTGGGGATTAGGGGATAGCCCGGCTGTGTTGTGATTGACGTTGGGATCAACCCCGTTGATGTGAGTGGGGGGGGGTTGGGGGGGGAGAGGGGGAGGGGGAGGATGTGGAAGGGGGATGGGGAAGGGGGACTGGCTGAAGCCCGGCTCTTTTGTGATCGATGTGGGGATCAACCCCTTTGATGTGAGTGCTGGAGTGTGCTGGTTGGTTGGGAGGAGGTGCGAGGGGGTGGAGGGGTGGGGTGGGGTGGGGAGGGGAGGGCAGGATAATGCTGTGATTGCAGCAGCAGGTGTGCTAACCTTGAATCATGGTAGTTGCTTGTGCGTGTTTTATGAAATTTCAAAAAGCTGAAAAACCTGTGGGGAAAAGCGCAATTCATGCTTTCAACAGCCCCCCCCTCCCCTCCCTACCCTCCCTTCATCCCCTTCTTCCTCACGCCCTCTCACATTCCTTCACTTCCGTCTTCCCTCTTCCCCGCTTTTCTTTGGTGCCTAAAATTTTCGTATCCTCCCCGCACCTTCCTCCACCCCCCTCCCGCACATCGCAGGATCCCTCGTCCAAGCGCGGTTACCGCCTGGTCGGAGACGTGTGTTTTGAAGAGGCTAAGCATGTCGCGTCGGCCATAACACCCGTGCCGGGGGGTGTGGGGCCGATGACCATAGCGATGTTACTCGGTAACACGTTGGAGGCGGCAAAGCGAAGCAAAGGTCTTCACGTGGAATGAAGAGGCTCGAGTCGAGTAGTGTCGGCCATAGTTCCGTGCCGATGACCATAACTTTGTTACCCTACTCAGTAACACGTTGGGAGGCTGCGAAACGAAGCAAGGGACTATTTGTGGAATGAAGAGAGAGTGTTTTTAGATTGATGTGATTTTCCTAAATAGCAGATTAGCTGAATGAGATGGTTAATTGTGATCTGTATGTCTACAAGTGCCAATACCACGAGACTGTTCTAGACCACCAATAATCTGGTCACTGACAGCACGTTTTTTGTTTGGTCTCATGTCAGCCAACCTGATACAACTCTAGTAAATTTCCCTTTCTAGCAAACCGATTACCCGTTTTAGCGAACGCTCTTGCCGTAACACCTTCCGATATTATCAACGAGCTCTCGCGAAACACTCGCTAGCTTGCTGTGACCACAATCAGTGGATGCGGACTGTAACTGCGACAGCCGACCAGGGACACAGTTCCAAGCTGTGCCACACAGGTAAACAGCCCAAACGGGACACGCAGAGCAACTGGGCCTGGACATCCACCAGACCAGCACACAGAAGTTCATCCAATCTCTTGCCCTCTCGACCCAATGTGTTGGTGGCGGGTGTACAGAACATGCACTGTACAGCACCGTGCGGAATTTTGGACGAATTCTCTGTACAATTGATGCCTGTTTGAGCCCCTCCCGGTTGCCTTGTGAAGGGGGCGTATAAGCTGTATCGAGCATTTCGCATAAGTTTCGTTAATTCGCAGCTAGCTAAAAAGGATTCGCAGGTGCTTATATTAAGGATCTGTAACCTTATTCGTTGACATTTTGACTTCGGTCTCTTCAGTTTGACTTCGGTCTGTTCGTTACTATTGGTCCATAACCACGCGACGCGCTTGTATCGTGGGTGCAACAGGCTGGGGAAAAGACCTCGGGTGCAGCGTTTCCATCCGGTGCTGGGCAAATTCGCGTGCACTGGTTGGGCATCATGTGTACTGTCTGTATCCGGGGATCGGGTCGGGAGGTGATGGGCGTGGTGGTGGCGTCTCTGCTCTGCTGCCCAATGCCCTCGCAAGCTGTGGCGGTTGAGCCGGTGGCGGTGGGGGATTTTCGGGTTGGGTCCGAGCAGAAATTACCAGGCAAGCTCCTTTTGTTTTGCTAAGCAGGCATTAATTTGTGCGATCCGAATGCAGGTTTCAACTCGCTACTGTAACGTCACTTTAGCGAATGTCAGCATTTGACGCCCAAGTCCCGGCTGACATGTGCGAGTTTGCATTCTTCTGTTTTTCTTCGTGGCTAGTGTCGCTGCTCCCAGCTGCGCTGGCTTTCTGGTCTGGAGTTCCACCGCATGATGCATGGGTTTCACGAGCCTGGTGCCACGCTATCATAATTCGACGCAACCTGCCGCCACTTCTTGTTGTGGTTGCGATGCACCGCCTTTGATTCACCGCCGTGTCGCTTGTCAAATTCGTTATTGTTCGCTATTCGCGAACAAAAAGGTCAACCCTCAATCCCCTTGTACACATAACTGTAATTGGCAACGATGAAACTGTAACGCTGTATACTGTAATTACACACCATGTACAGTGCAGCAGGATAATCACAGAGTTCAGCTTGTGACAATTAGGGGCATGGGCAGAAAAACTTCCTCACGATTCAGGAATTGGGTCATTTTCCCCACTGCAAGGGAATTCCAAACATCACTGGGACCGTCTTGCAGTCCTAGTTCCACCACAATGTGACCTGTTTACTACAGTTCGCTGTAAAAGGCGAATCTCTTTTTTCGCCTGTTGCGAAGCACGGGTCACCTCACCTTCACAACTTTAGGACCGCTATAGGACCACTGTCAACGCAATATCCAGTACTGATGCGGCGTTCATCATCACATGCTATGACTGGTCCCGCCCCGCGTGCCTGACACCTATGGCGTTTTTTTTCAAAGCTTGGGTCGCTGCCAGTCCCTCCAACTGGCGTGGTTCCTATGGTCTAAATTGGTTCAGGAGGACGCCTGAACCAGCATGGCGTGGACAGATGATGTGGGCTGGATTCACCAGTCCTTCAGTCCTTCATCTCCTTGAACATCGCGAAAAAGGAAAGCTGCGAATTTTGGCCCCCGAAGGTTTTTCTGCGTCGGCCTTGCGAGAAAGTTGCGGAAAGTTGCATAAAAACACCGCACCCAAATCGCAACATTTTGCACATCAGAAACGCACAGCGTCATCGTCCACACAAAAGTTACTTGGTTGTAACTTTTCCGCAAACATGTAGGAAACGCGAAGCGCACATCTACTTCTCGAGCCGCACGCGCGGCTCCGAAATCCTTCACACCAAAGTCCGCGATATAAGTATGCCGCTTCGTGATTTCCGTCACAATACAACAGCTGTGTGCACAGTTAGTTTGCTTATATCCACATCAGCCCAACATTTTTTCACCAACTCCCAATATCATTGCACACACAATTACAACCACAACTACAACATCAACAATGCGTCCCCCCTACGTACGGTACCGCACACAGTCGACGCCCACAACCAAACCCCACTACTGCCAGGCGCATCACTGGTCGTCATCACTCTCCAGCACTTCATCACTCTGCAGCACTTCTTCGGCTGTCCCGTCCTCAGCTCGCCCCCCCGCGCGTGCCCTCTTGACAGGCGTCCTGCACAGGCGGGAAATCACCTCCTGGTTCGATGCTCCGACCTCTGCAGGCACAGCCGCCGGGGGGATGCCGAGCTCATCGGCACGCTCCACGTACGCGCGGGTGACGTTGCGTATCACGCGCCTCCTGCTGCGCGCGTCCCGCAGGAGTGGGCCGTCTGGCAGGCTCATCTCGCCCGACGACTCATCGGACGCGCTGTCAGCAGGTGTGGCTCTGAACCCCTCCTCCACGCATAGTCCCGCGTCGCAGTTGATAAACTCTGCGGCCGTCATGTAGCACGCATGCCTCACCTTGAACTTCTCGATAAGCATCTGCAAATCGACGCATACCGAGATAATAGGCTCAAACATGCCGGTTGCGCACGTGTCACCCAGGTACGCCATCAGGGGCGGCCAGCTCGCCGGCACGCATCCTGCGCGCCACCAGCTCCGCTGCATGGTTGCCGCGCGCACACGAGTCCACGATTCTCCCAGCCACTCGAGCATGTCGTTATAGTCGACATCCGCGATGGAAGCCGAATAGTCGAATTGGAACCGCTTGGACCCTATCGCACGCCTCATCAGCATAACGCGGTAATACGCCTTCAGCGCGTCACCCACTCCCTGCAGGTGCGGCAGGCCCGTCTCCGGAACCGATCCACGAATGTTGACGATTCGTGTGTTGGTGAGGTGCTGCACACTGAAGCCGTGCTCCGTGACTGGCGGCGCCACCTCGCCGGTGATGCGATGCGCCTTGTGAATGGTGAGAATGATGGTGTTGCGATCACGGCTGAAGTGCACACCATTGACTGTCTCCACAAACTCCGTGAATACCTGTGTGCAGTAAAACAAACATAGCGACATGTCACCATCGGCCATTGCGGTACGCAAATACAACGGAGATGGACGCGCTGCTGATGTCCTCACACGTGCTAAGCACGTCCAACCATAAAAATGCACAATGCGCACTCATCCATACCTCCGGCGTCAACCGCCCTCGGTTCGTATACCGAACGGCCACCCTGCGCGAAGCCGCGCTCGCCCGCCGGCGCTCGGCCCTATTTGATGGCTCAAGCACCACCAGAGGCACCGAGGAACAACTCCCCGTCGCGTTGTAGAGGATGCCGACGCTGACGATACGCTCCACCACATTGCGCTTATCCGGAATGTACGACTTCGGCAGCCGGCTGGGAAGAAAATTAATATCGTGGAAGCAGAACACGTCATCAGGGTGCGCGGTAGCAAGCAGGCCCTTCAGGTCACCCATTGTAACACACTGTCACTCCGGTAGGCAAGTATGCAATGAAGTGCACACGACCTCCTCCTATGTACGTTTCATTTGACCGTAACGTACACCCGGCTTGCCCCTGCACGCACACTATGCCCATCAGTTGACATTGGCCACACAACCAACCGAACACAAACCCTGCGCCGCACAGAGATAACGCTCTCCTTTGATACGTCCACCTGTAACGATCACATAGGATATCTCGCCCGCACCACGCCACGTACGCGACACCCGTATCCGAACAACCAACTGCCTGAGACCGCGAGTGTGCACCACCACACATTGTCGTTGTGCAACCCCGACCGCACAACAAATAAGCGTCCCCTTATGCGTTATATGCTTCATATGCCAACCTCGATACTGCACACATATACATGATTGCACGACTTATTATCCGTTCACTGAGTGCACAATAGCATCACCGCTGGATAACACAAGTTCCATCAAACCGGACCTCTACACATAAAAATCGCACTACCCAAAGATTCTCCAACCAACATTCATCGCTGCAACCACTGTCTGAAAACGCATTGCGTCACTCGCATAGTATAAACCTATTTACTAGCTGCACCTTTTTGTTGCTGTACGAAGGGCACACGTGCACAACTCTCTGCAGGCTTTTCAGCTCCACCACCGAGAACCTCACATCCTCCACTGTCTTGTGCAGCTGCGTACATCCCGTGAGGTTGCACCTCCCAGCCTTCTCATAGTACCTCACATATGCGTACCCCTTCCAATCCCCATCACGGTCAACCGCCCTGAAGATGCACAGACATTTTGCATACCAGTCCCCATCCTTGTCATTGAGCAGCGCCACGTCCAAATACCACCTCTCTCGGGGCGACGCCTTCACAAATGTCCCTTTGGCCACCAGCTCGCCGCCTCTTGTGCGCGGAATGGTCACCGCCGTGTGGACCTGTCACACCATCCCAACCAAACCAACAACACGTGCACATCATGAGTGCGGTGAGCACCATCATGTAATACTACAAACGTCACTTGGCCGCCACATTGTAATCACTTCACCTGCACGCTGTTGGTTGCCAGACCCAACGCCTTAAACTCAACAGCCAAACCCTTCATATCGTCTCCCAGCGCGGTTATGTACTCATCGTACACCGGATCCGACGCTCCGCCAATCCGCATTGTCCGGTACTTCTTCGTGAGCACCGGTATCTTCGTCTTGATTGCCTGCACGTAACACACGCATTCGCACAATGAACCACACGGTGTTTCAAGCACGCCTCCACCCCGGTGTACGGTGTACTCTGGACTACCACCACTGGGCATCATCGTCTCCAGGACCCCCTAACACACCTCACGCAAGGCGGACGCGTACTGTCGCCCACCCCCAGCGTCCGCCGCCACCTCGCGGTACACCTCGCGCTGCACCTCCTCCTCCACGATTCGTCGAGGTATGTCGCTCCAATTGCTCCCTCTTACTGGACCCTTCACCGTGCCCTTGTGCGTGCGCTCCCACATTTCGGTTGAATAGTGGTGCGGCATCCCACGCTCCTTTACGTTGTCCAGCAAATGTTTTATCATGTGTATCTTTGGGAGCTTCCAGTGGGATGCCTGCGATTTGAATGCCTTCGGTAGCAACGCCACCAACCTGCACCGGCACCCCCGACAAGGCACAATACTGGATGCATCATCGTATATGGCGACCTCAAAATAGCCGTGCAACTTTCAGCATACCCTCCCATAAATCCGTGTAACCGGTCGTGCGAGGGGTATACAAGTACTCACGCTATCGCATGCTGCCGGGCAATCGCAATTTTCGTGTGTGTGTGCCTGTCAACCCCCAGAAACGCCTTGTAGAACACGGCAAACAGCCGGAACGCCTTGACCTGCAAAGCACGCAGCTCTCCCTCCGGTCCAGCCTTCAATGCACTCTCGTCTGCCACCAGTATCGGCATTATCTGCATCATGCTCCTGTGCTCGAACGCCGCGTAGTTTGCGCCAGAACTGAAGAACGATGATCCCCCAGGGATACGGAGGAGAACGCTTGGAGTGAAACGCTTGAACTCCTTCTTGCGGCTGCGCACATACACAGTACGATGTCGTCATCCGCTGACCCACATGGGGGCCTAGACCCCAAGTAACTGGATACCGCGCTCTCACACCCTACTACACCTAACTCACCTTTCAAGCAGCCGCATCTCAACCTTTCCAAGAGGTTCGATGTAGGAGTCCATCATGTGGATCAGCACACCGGAGTCCAGAACGTGCAGTGTGTCTGCTAGGCATGCCAGGTACACGTTTCCCCACTCTGTGTCTGCGAAATTCCACCTTTGAAGCACGCACTGCAAACATCCAACAGACGACTCAATGTTGTCAAGCAGTCCACATGATATACAGCCCCCATTCAACACGCACCACCAAACCGCGCAACAGCAAACACACCTCGATCGGATGGGTTGACCATAACTTCCACACATCGTCTGCCTCACCCTTCTTCTTGCACGCCAGAATCTGACGAACAATGTCCCTCTGCTGCTCGGGGGTCCGTGGATCAGACTTCCCCACCATCATGGTCAACTCCCCCTTCACAGCATAGCAGTTAGCGCATGGCCGATGTGATCCTTGCTACAGAGTTGCGGAGGCTCTGCTGGATTCCGGGAAGTCGGCAGGGTATCCGTACAGGCAAGGGACCGCCTTGTGCACCTTCCCGTCCGCGTCTGTGCAGTAGAAGAAGCGTACTGGCGCACTGCATAGTGCCGCAATGCACACATAGTGTTCACTTAGTGACGGATTGTATGCATATCTCCGAATAGGGTGGCTACTAACTGGGGTGGCCCCCCTTCCCCACCCGTGTAGTGTTAGCATCCCCACCCCCCTCCCTCCCCGTACTTGGCGGACTCTCGCATGATGGGCGCGAGTATTATCTTCAGTGCCTCCTGGAACACACGCGTCTTCTCCGTAGGCGACGCCCACTCAGGCGGGAATGGAAGCACCGCCGCCAATGTGTGCCCGGGCTCCACTCCTCGCAATTCTTCGGGTATGATGATAAGTGAGATCAGCATAGGCCACGCGTTCCTTCGTCCATTCCGTGATGCCTGCGTGCTATCGCTGTATATCAGCACGCCTAGTACGAGTGCCTGGTCGTCATTAATCTCCTTCTGCCATGTTCAGCGCACGGGCCGGTGAGCGTTGTGACACCATTTTCAGGTACCAGTATGCACAAAATGTGACAACTGAACATCAAACATGTGCGTACCTGAGCAGAGTGCATCCAGTCACCTGTCTCCGGTCCTTCAAATACCTTCTCGTTGTTCTTCTTCCGATAAATCTTCGTCGGCTTCCATACGAACCCCTTTTTGGATGAGAAAGTCCGCACCAACTTCTTCAAGATCTGTGTGCGTCGCGTAAAAACGTGGGTGAGAACATGATGCGGGCCAACTTCATCTACGCGTCACCCCGACATCGCCGTCCAGGTTGGCCTCCAATTACGTACCAACTCGGTGTCGCGGAAGTGCAGTAGCAGCTTCATTTGCAGTCCTTTGGGACCCCTCACCACTATCTCCTCCGTTTTCCACGGGACCATGTCGGCTGGAGCTCGCGCCATGCCCCAGCGGCGCACATCCACCCAGTTGCGCCATCGTCTGAGTGCCCTTAGGTTGAAGCGAGGGTTGCGGAAAATGTGTAGCAGACGGTTAACTTCCCGGTGCGACAGATCGGCGTCACGGAAAAACAGGTACAATTCTGTCAGTGTATCAAAAATCTCCGTCCTATCGCTGCCTTCTGAAGACTCGGCGTTTGCGCCGTCGGATGGTGGGTCCGCGTCGCCAACCACACTAACTTCGGGTATCGAGACCGTTGGAGCAACGGAGAGAAAGCTGCCATCGTTGTTTTTAAGCCTGGATGCCGGTGGGGTGTTTGGTCTACTCTCTCCGTCGCACGCAACGGCTTCCAAATATGCTGCCACAAAAGTTGTTCACGCTTCCTCTTCAACTCCTCGCGACAAACAGCCCCATTCGCTACATGGGACTGTAACCTGCTGTCGTCCTTAAACACCGTCTTGCACACCAGGCAACTATTCCCCGCCATCCTACAGCCGTGAAACCCTAGGGATTGCTGATGTGGAAACCCAGCCCAGTACCTCTGGTGCACTCTAGTACAACAGAGTTGGGCTGGTTCGAGCACACGCATGTGCAGGAAGCTGTGTTTAGTGCGCACAGAACATCGCCGAACTCGTTACAGTGAATGGAACAATTGTAACGTGCGTGTATGTTTTTTATGTGATTCGTCATATACAATTGTCCCACCGCGACACCAATGATTACAATAAGTTTATCAATAATTTAATATTATCATAAACTCTACCCGTAACCACCTACACCATTGCGTAGCTTTGTTTCATTGTCGTGTTGATTCACGCATGTTTAGGCAAACACACTCCAGCTTAAACTGACGTAACCGAACACATTGTAATCGCGTTTACTACTTCCTCGAGTTTAATAACCATGTACGACTCGATTGCAATAAACGGGACTCGGCGCGCGACGAAACACATACACCCATGTTCACCATACGCCGTACATCGTTACCGTATTCCGCGTCATTCGGCCACCATTTTAAAAAATTCGGGCTACATGTACACGACCCCACATTCGCTTGCATGCATCGGCTTGGTAACCCGGCTTCAACCTCCGACCGCATCATCCGAAACCCTAGGCTTAGCACACGTGGATCTGCATGGCGCTGAACCATCTCAGCCTCTCGAGTGGTCGCATCACACCTGGCCATCGCATGCACCCTTGCGCCAACTGCCAAGATCATTGCAGCTCTACATGACGGTCCCACCAGCTGGGCATGATACAACAGGGTTTCGCCTTGCTCTCTCCTTCCTTTTCCCTAGTATCCTCATCGCTTGCGCTCGCCGTAAATGTGTTCATACAGCTAACCCCTCGCTGCTCACGTTTTAATCAGCCATGGTACTCAGTATTCTCGTCATTGTAAGATGCTGATGGCGATTCCTAAGCAGTTGACATCTAAGCGCAACCGGTTCTATCAACCCGAGACTAGCAGCAGCTCCGACGACCAAGATCCTGCCCCGCCGGCGCGCAGAACCAGGTCGTCGAAGAAGGCCGAGTCTAACATGAAGAATACAGGGCCGATCCTGCAGACTAAGGACTCCGGAAGGGCCAGGAAGTTTGCTACTCATAAGGAGGATACGGCGCGGGAGCAGGTGCCGGAAGATTTGGTGGCCCTTGTCGCACGGAATTTCATGAAGTCTTCGTACAGAAACATGACGCTGATAAATCACCGCGGGGTCGGGTGTGAGGTGGATAAGGACGACCTCATGTCGATCGAGGATGATCAGTGGATTACTGATGGCGTGGTCGACTTTCACAACGTGTAAGTATCGTAACGGCTGTCACCTGGTTGACGCTTTGTTGCGTAGTATCAGATGTATGTGCAACATCTTATACGCATTGTTATTTCTTGTTCATTAACTTTGCAGGCTGCTTAGCATCCGGAAGCCGACTCTCCGTGACGGGAAAACATGGGCTGCCTTGGACTGCAACGCGTACTTCCAGACGAACTCGTGTGGTGCGCCTTTGACGCTGGGGAACGGGCTTCCGCTACTGGAGCACGACTATCTCGCGATCCCTGTGCTAGAGGGGTACGTATCACAAATATCCGGTTCGTGAGCGGATTCTTTAGCATGACACCGATGGTTGTCTAACCCTAATCCCAACATACCCTCTCATGTTGCGCGTAGGGAGCACTACTCGCTCGTCATCGCTATATCTCCATCGGTGCTCACCAAGTCCGCGAAATCTCCTGGCAAAGAGCGACTGAAGTTGGTCTTGCTGGACAGTAGCATAAAGACAAGGGACACCCGGAAGATTTTTGCAGGCACCAAGCTGTGAGTACGGGGTTCACTGTCGGCGTTGCATGTCGCTGGCAGCAACCCAGATGTTGTGTTAACGATTTCGGCCTGTAACGTGCAGAGTGCTGTCCGAACTCGCCAAGGCTAGTAACCCTGACGCGAACATGGAGTTTGTGGACAAGCAGCTGTTGGAGGCGGATTGCATAATATTACGGGTGAGGGTACCATTGAATGCGCATACCTGTGTGCACAAAGTATTCGAGGGTAGACTGATTGCTAACTGTAGTGTGCGTTTGTCGGAGTGCAGGAGGATAAGCTGCCACAGCAGCCGAACAAGCAGGACTGTGGAATTTTTGTGTGCCAGTACCTGAAGACCCTGGTGACTACCGACTTCACCACGCTATTGAGCGGGCTCTGGTTTCAGGGTGTGACGCCGCACCAATACCGGCGGGAGATGCGGCGCGACTTGTGCGCACACGCGACCGGAGATCTCATTCGGCAGTTGGAAGCACTGGGGATCGAAATCCCTCTGCAGGACGCAGGCCGGGTAACAGAGGGGGGGGCAGTGGTGCGGGAGAGGAACGCTGGTATGGAAGATGTGAGGTAAGCACCGGTCACTCAAGCCGGGGATGACGCACGGGTAACGGCGATGATGAGGGAAATGGCGACTTTGAAGAACGATGTGAGGTACCTGGACGCGAGCTTCACCGTCATAGCCAGTTTTGTGGGATTGAGGCGCGACGAGGTGGTCTCCGCTGCAACCCAACTACTGATGCAAGGTAACCCCGTGAGACCCGGCGCGAAAGCAGAGGCAGGTGGCACCAAGAATGCTCCACACACTCCACAACGTCCATCCGGTCGCAAGAGGCGTGACGACAGCAGTCCAGAGGAGGATGGCGTACGCAATGCCACCCGTGTTGCGCTGGCCTCCTCGTTCGCTGCATGTGATCCGACAGCGCGCTTGCTGCAAAACCCGTTGCTGTCTGGAGGGACCATACCTCACTGGATGTTCACCCGCGGGAGACCGCTGCTCGGGATGACGGTGCCGGCTGGAGCTGATGCGTGGGGAGATACGAGAGGCCACGAGACGGTGAAGGCAGAAGAAGAAGAGGATCTCGTGTCAGACACGGAGGACGAAGCGGATGGTGACGACACGTGTGCAACGAAGTACACAGGAGTCAAGTTGGAGAAAGCATCCGGCAAGTTCGGCGTAAAAATCCTGATCAAGGAAGGAGGAAAGCGTAAGCAACAGTGGCTGGGTGCATACAACTCGGAGGAGGAGGCCGCGTTTGCGTACGCCGCAGGTGCGTTCGTCCTGAGGCCACGAGACAAGATACCCAGCACAGTCAGTCTGTCAGCCGCAGAGAAGGCGATGCTGCGTGGATGCACCAAGGAAGATCTGCAGCTCCTGGTGGAAGCGCGGAGGTGGTGGACGTGGCGGAGCTGGAGGGAGGCGCGGGAGGGCATGAACTGGAAGCTGAAACGAGGGAGGAAGCGAGTGGTTGCCACAGGCACGTCAAAGAGGCAGAGGGTGGTGGATAGCAACAACACGGCGGCCAACGAACCAGACGACCCTGACAATGCTGAGAGTGGGGGAACGGCCCCTGTGAACAACGGCAGCGGCGGGTGTGCGCGGCACAAGGAAGCCGAAGAGGGTGTGGAAGACTCTGTTGCACATGAGAAGGTGGCAGACCATCCTGCATAGTTGATGTAGATGAATAGACGTCCAAATGCTTGTCGCTGTACGGTGTGTTTTGTGTGAAGTGCAGTTTGAGATTTGCAGGGCGTCATATTTTCGTTGTGTATGCACGATTGATGATTGCGAAGTCTCTTGACTTTCACAATGTAGCCCTAGTGGTCGGTACATAGTGTGCTAGTGTGACTTGCAATTTCTGAGATGTATAATGACAAGTTGTACGTCAACAACGTGTACAGTGAATACGTCCGTGATACCGGATGTACTCACAAACGAGTTCCAAGGATACGGTTGTGTCGCCAGGATGTGCACGGTGTGTGGTTCATGTGTGCACACATGTACATGGCGGCGGATGACGTGGTGTGCATGTATTAGTCGTTTCGGATTGCGGTCATCCAAATGGCCACGAAGTCGTATTGCCTACCAAACTCACTTCCCAAGATGTGCTCCGGTGTGGTAAGAAGTTGAGCGGAAGCTATACGTAGAAATATAGAACCGCGCGTCATTCTGTGAGCATCTCACTGGATACTTTTGTTGCTACAATGGATACTTGGACGGGAGGGCGCGCCCGTCGTGTATCTAACCCGCCGGCGTACTTACGGGCGTCGTATCAGCTGACAATGCCGCGCGGTCGGCTGTCGAACGGGAAACACGGTCCGACAGTGCCTAAGCGTCTGAGCGTGGCCAAGAAGGGAACCGAGTTGGTACAGCAGGAGCAAGGTATGCAGCAAGAGCGTGGATGGGTGACTCGTTGTATTTATGCGAGTGTTCGTACTGTCTGTACGTATGTACCCCCGTGTACAACAACTATAGCTGACATGTGGTACCGTGCTTTCCTGGAGCCTCTGTATCATCGCAGATGACGGCACTGGTGCAGAGAGTGCTTCATCGTCCGAGCGCAATGAAGAGGACGGCGAGGCAGACTCAGACACATCGGCCTCAGCCTCACCCGAAGAATCCGGCGAACCTGCCACGGGAGGGAAGACGGCCGACGATGGGTGTGCGGGAACCGCTTCACCCAAAGCAGACGGGCGCGAAAGTCGGGGCGCGCGGGAGACGGATGTGTTTCGGGGCGAAGGCCGAGGACATGTGGACGGGCATGTCGACCGCGCATGCGGGACCCCAGTGGACACCGACGGCGATGACGTGCGCATGTCGAGCAGGGTTCTCGAGCAACTCATACGGGCTCAGGACAAGAGCGCCAAGGAGAACGCGCGGTTGGAGGCGCTGTTCTTGAATGCAATGGCGCAGCCTTCTGGTGGCTCTCGTAAGCGTAAGGCTCGGAAGCAGAGAGACCCGGAGCAGGGGTGCATGAACCCGAAGCGTCAGCGCGGCGAGACATGGAGCGGCGGGTCGGACGATGACGGAGAGGACGACGAGGAAGATACGCATGGTTCTGGTGGTCGTCATATGCGTACTGCAAAGTCTCCTATTCTGCAACGCGCGTTGGCGCATCTGCCGACTGACAAGGCGTGGAAGGTGAGCGGGCATGTTTCCATCTCGGTTCAGTAGTGATGGTCCGGATTGGGTTGCAATCTGTACCCGTTGATGGTCCACGGTGAATTCTGATGTTGGTGATGGTGTATACTTTGTGTGCGCAGAGGGTTTGCGAGCTGGCCCGAGTTCACATGTTTCTCAACAGGCCTACGTCGTCGATGACCTTCTACCCGAGCAGCGACGATAAGACTCACGGAGTGTGCGCGGTGCTGGACCGCCTGCCTCACAGCTTCGCCTGTTTGGCGTTGGCGGCTGACAAGTCGCGACGAGCGGATCTCAACAAGACGCTGTCGGAGTGGAAGACAAGGGCTGCCGCTCGCGTGCGAGACATTGCACTTCCCAAGCTCGGCCTGTTCCGTGACGAGAGGGACGCATACAGCCCGTGGGCACCTGAAAAGGAGCGTAGTATCGAGAAGATAAGGGAGCGCATTGGGCTTGGCGCTGACCCCCCTGGTGAGTGCATGAGACGCGCGCTGGAGTCGTTGACCGTTTATAGTCATGCACCTATTTTGAGAATTGCGGACATTGGTACCGACGCTTATGATGTGGTGTGCAGAAACTCTTGTGCTCACGAGCTGGGCGCACGACAGGGATGGCATGCCGTTTGCCTCCCGGGCGTTCGCAACATGCGCGAAGGCTGCCTTCAAGCCGAAGAAGGCAGGGCTGGTGATGACCCTTAAGGTGTACCACCTGGCCTGGTTGGAGCATGTGGTGAGTGTGTGCGCTCGATGTGTGCAATGGTGTGTATCTTACTGGAAATGTATGGACTGACGCTTTGTGTGTTGGCGCAGGTCTCCGACTGCGTCCTCTACTGGGAGTCGCGGAAAGGCCGGCTCTCCAACTCGGCGGGCGGGAACGCCCACGTTGTGGATGGGCTCAAGGTCCTGGTCAAGGAGGCCGTGGAGAGGGCGATCCGTATCCGCAACCCCGAGTATGACGCGGAGCGCGAGGCGTGGATTTGGGGGCGCCATGGCCTGCGCATATCTGCGTGCGGCCTGGAGCACATGAAGCCCACGGCCGCCGCCCAGTCCGAAGGCACCGTAGGGGATGACGACCTTTCGGCGTCACTTGGTACTGAGTAGACCGTCAATAGAGGCTGTGGGTGGTGGACGGTTGAAGGGACAGCTGGAGAGCTGCGTTGATGGAATCGAGAGGGCTTATGTGTGCGGTGTTAGATGTTTAGCTATGTGGGATAAGGGGGTTGCATGTGTTTGATTGAGAGTTGAAAATGACTGGTGTAGTTAGGAGTTGTGTAACACATTGTGACAGACCTTGTTATCAATGGGAGAAGTCGTTTGGGGTATTGTTGCACAAGATAGCACAGGCAGGCAGAGGGGGCTGTACAATGCGACATGCTGGCGTGAACCGGGTGTGCGGGCGGACTAATGGTGCGCCGCACTTGGCGGCGCGTGTCGCGGTGTGTTCCATATGTCGCGACTGGGTTGGACGTGCCCGTTAAAACATTGCGGGCGTGAGGCGCTCCGATTGGATATCATCATGGATAAGCATTGAACTGGAACCTATGCCCAATTTGACACGCACGCACAAGACTACGCGTGTCACTCTCCAGTACGTTATAACATTCGAATTTACGTCACGGAGTGATGGCGTACTGGTTGGGAACACGACGTGATATTCGACGTGGGCGCGACAGGTGTACGGTCAAGATTGTTTCGCGCAGTTTGAGCGAATTATTATGGCGAGGAGATGGATGGATGGTTACTAGATGTGCGAGAGGACGATCCGAAGGCAAGTGTACGGGGTAGATCGCGGCAGTGAGAGCGACGTGGCAGCTCGGAGACGGAGAGTATGTGTGCTGATGGACGGTGCGGATGGTGTCGCCACCTTGTAGCGTGTGTAAAACGACTGGGTGGCGAGAAATATGGCGAAGTAAACGAGAATGTGGCGTAGCGACATTTGTACGGCGAGGGTGCAATGTTGGTTAGGGTGAATAGGCATGATGCGCCCTCCGATGGACGCCAACTGGGAAAATGCTAGTGGGTCCCGTACCCGGGAGTTGCGACGTGCGCACCGGTGGGCTGCTTCCAAGTGTCACGTATTTACGGGCTGAGTGATGAGGAGATGGACGGAGCAGATGCGAGTGCGACGTGTCAGCGATCATTCGCGAGGTGGTGCTCGCGAAGGAGTAACATGATGTGCGAGTAGCTGACCGGGCGACACGTGAACCGTCTGGATTGCGTGAACAAACCCTATATCTAACGGATGGGGTGCGGGTACGTTTTGGTGGGTGAACGCTTACGTGGACCATCGGGTTGATACTGGATGCCACGTGTGTTGTCGCGTACGGATGGCAGTTGGGGTTGCGTAGTTGTAACTTTATAGTTGGTTGGATAGGTTAGGTTAGGAAAACTTTCATGTGGTGCAGACCGTTACGGTTTAGCAACGACAACGTAGCAGGTGTAGTATCTGATTTGATACACGCATGTGTACAGAATGCAGTGGAATAGTGACAGGGAGGTTGCTTTGTGAGTGACTGTTGCCATGCAGTTCTAAAACCTTGACTCGAAAGTGCCGGGCAAAAAAAATCGGGAAAGTTGCGGGAGAGTGTATTTTTAGTTTATTTTCGCGCTTCCCCTTTTCGCGATGAAGTGCTCGCGAAGTTTCATCCCTAGGACAAAACGTGCTTTCCTCGGACACCATAGTTCATAAACTTCTCAAGCTGTCCACACCAGATCCCGCATAGACGATGCGTTTTTCAAGCTCGTATGTATATCAGTTCATTCCTCAGCCTTTTCATACGTCAACGTAATCGTGGACCCGTCGAGCCCCTTCGCAGGAACCAGAACCGCGGCCACGCCTTAGGGAATCAGGCACGTTTTAGGGAAACCAGGCACGCCTTAAACTAGCTTCACGCGCGGGTCACCCGTCGATCTTCCGCGATGCATAGGTTTCGGGGAGCTCATCCGACATTAGATGGTAAGCTTTGTGTCAACCATTAAAGCCCGAGGTCAGCTTGGTTTTTGGCAAAATTTCTGAAGGGTTTTAAACGTGTTGGCGAAAAGAAAAAAGGCTAATTTCGGGAATATGGGCGGGGCGAAAACGAGATCAGGCTGCGAGGAGATTGGGAAGTCGTCACTCAACATCGGTGTGAGTGTGCGACAAACCAACCCAACCAACCAACCAAACGAGTAAGCCAACCTCACCAGTCTAGTAGTCAGAAAACATCCCGACAGCGCATCGTAGCAAAAAATACGCAGAATTTAGGAACTTCACCCGCGCATACACAAAGTTGTTGTGCCTCGCCTCCCGTCGTTGCGTCTCCCCTCGCCTCGCCCCCTAGCCCATCGTCACGCCTCCCGGAGGGGGCCCGTCGTTTCTGGGAGCCTCCCCTCGCCGCGCCTCCGCTCCCCTCGTCGCGCCTCCGTTCGCCTCGCCGCGCCTCCGCTCGCCTCGCCGTGCCTCCGCTCGCCTCGCCGCGCCTGCGCTCGCCTCGCCGCGCCTCCGCTCGCCTCACCGCGCCTCCGCTCCCCTCGTCGCGCCTCCGTTCGCCTCGCCGCGCCTCCGCTCACCTCGCCGCGCCTCCCCTGCCATCAGCGCGCCACCACCCTCGTCGCGCTGCCCCTCCTCGCGCCTCCACTCCCGCTGCCCTTCTCCCACCTGCCCATCCCTTGCCCTCGCTTCCCTGCCTTACCATTCCCTCTTGTTACCTTCCCCTCTATTCCCTCTGCTTCCCCTCATTCCCCCCTCTTCTTCCCTCATTTACTCCCCTGCTTCCTCTCGTTTTCCCCTCTGCTTCCCCTGGTTTCCCTCCTGCTTCCCCAATTCCAGCCCCCTGATTTTCCTATTTTTAACCTCCTGCTTCCCCTAATTTCTTCTTTTGCTTCCCCTCATGTCCGCCTCTGCTTCCCCGCATTTACCCCGCTGCTTCCCCTCGTTTCCCCCTCTGCTCTCATCGTTCCCCCCCTGCTTCCCCTCATCCCCCCCTCCCCCCTTCCCCTCATTTCCCCCGCTGCTTCCCCTCATGTCCCTCTCTTCTTCTCCTCATTTCCCCCTCCGCTTCTCCTCAGTCCCCCCTCCGCTTCCCCTCCTTCCCGCCTCCGCTTCTACTCATTCCCCCCTCCTCTTCTCCTCATCCCGCCCTCCGCTTCTCCTCATTCCCCTCCCCGCTTCTCCTCATTCCCCCCTCCGCTTCTCCTCATTCCCCCTTCCGCTTCCCCTTGTTTTCCCCTCTGCTTTCCCCTGTGCAGGGACTTCACATTCTCTCTGTGCTTCTCTGTCCCCTGGTCCCCCATGCGCAACCCTGTGCCCATCAAGTGGTGGACGAGGCATGCCGCTTGCTGTGCCAGTCATACCATAATTGACTGCCCCTCACCCTCACCCTGTGCCCGCTGTGCCCCCTCTGTCCCCTCGGCCTCCCCGTGCCTCCCCGTGCCTCCCCATGCCTCCCCATGCCTCCCCATGCCTCCCCATGCCTCCCCGTGCCTCCCCATGCCTCCCTCCGTGCACCCCCTGCACCGCCTGCATCCCCTCTTGCCCCCATCAGGTGGTGGACGAGGCCGACCGGCTGCTGCGCCAGTTCTACCACGACTGGCTGCCGCTCACCCTCGCCGCCGTCGCTGCTGCCCCTTTCTGGTGCCACTGCTGCCATGTCAGCAGTCGCCGGCATGCATGCTGACGTGGCAGTGAGCGTGCCGGTTCTGTGCGGCGTCATGCACATACATGGCAGTGGCAGCGTGAGCGGTGTTCTCCCCACTCCATTCATCCACGGCCTGCAAACTCTGTGGGCCCTCAACGGTCACCTCATGCTGCTGTGCTACTTACACACCTATGTACATTCTTTGCGCTCACTTCATCTCTTATTACGGTGTTTGTGAGAACCCTCGTCTCTTACCTCAGAAGTGCTGCACTCACAAGACTGCCAATTGCATAATCAGAAACGTCAGCAGCAACTGCAATAGGGCCAGTATTCCTATGTTGCATCACAAAGAAGAGGTCGGGTCAACACTGAGATATGGGCATACACAATACACCCCTTATACCACTATCATCACAGGTAGACCCTTGTACCTATAAACCTCCAGCGCATAACATAGCACGATCCACAAGTCGATCCCTACGGCCAGATAACCCAGATTATATTCAGGTACCTGGGTAAGCATCTCTCACAGCCGCTAGAGTGCTCTAAGAGTGCCTCTGGCGTGCTGGCAGGCGAGAGACTGCCATTGTCACGACTCGCAAGCACTGCAATGTGCAGCACCAGTTGAGGCATGCAAAATGAACTCGCCTTATGTTCCAGCACTGCAGCATGTGGCTCTCGGCCCGCCACACAGCAACATGGCCTGCCTTTCCCTGCACCGCTCTGCACTCCCCCAGCCCACAGCAGCGCAGCCCAGCCTTGACGTGCGCTGCCGCCAGCATTACTGCCAGCCTGCCTTCCCCTCCTGCATCAACGCTCCGCGGCAAACTCCCTGACACTGCCAGTCCCCATATCCTGCCACAGCCCCTGCCTGCCTTTCCCCCTTCCTCCCACACCACGCCGCACTGCCCATGCCGCACTGCCGCACTGAAGGCAGTGTCGACAAGAGGCTGCCTCAAAGTTCCACCAGAAGAGAAGCCCATCTTGCAGAGTGGAGTGGGCAGGTACCGCTCCGTGAGCGGTGTGGCGGTGGCGGGTTCGTCTTCGATGGCCTGCCGCGCGGAAGAAGAGGGTGGGGGGCGGCAGGGCAGAGAATGAAGGGAAGGCAGGGTTTAGGGTTAGGAGAAGGGAGGGCAGAGGATGATGGGAAGCAGGGCAGGGGTAGGGAGGAAGCAGTGCAGAGGGTGGGGGAAAGCATGTTCAGTGAAACGGCTCACACGGAGACATGAAACAGGGAGAAGGGGACAGGGAGAAAGGGGGGAGCAGGGAAGGGGATGAGGGGAAGCAGGGACAGGGATGGGGGGAAGCAGGGAACGGAGGGGGGGAAGCAGGGAAGGGGATTGGGGGAAGCTGGGAAGGGGATGGGGGGAAGCAGGGAAGGGGATGAGGGGAAGTAGGGAAGGGGATGGGGGGAAGTAGGGAAGGGACGATGGGGAGGGGTACATGGGAAGGGACATGGGAAGGAGGAGGAAGAGGGTGAGATCGAGGGAAAGGAGGGGCATATGGAGAAAGTGAAGCCTCACCTGGTGTGTGGCGCTCACCTCTCTGATGGTGGGAACGGAATGGGGGGAAGCAGGGAATGGGGTGGGGGGAAGCAGGGAACGGGATGGGGGGAAGCAGGGAAGGGGATGGGGGGGAGCAGGGAAGGGGATGAGGGGAAGCAGGGAACGGGATAGGGGGAAGCTGGGAACGGGATGGGGGGAAGACGGGAATGGGATGGGGGGAAGCAGGGAACTGGATGGGGGGAAGCAGGGAAGGGGATTGGGGGAAGCAGGGAAGGGGATGGGGGGAAGCAGGGAAGGAGATTGGGGGAAGCAGGGAAGGGGATGAGGGGAAGCAGGGAACGGGATAGGGGGAAGCTGGGAACGGGATGGGGGGAAGACGGGAATGGGATGGGGGGAAGCAGGGAACTGGATGGGGGGAAGCAGGGAAGGGGATTGGGGGAAGCAGGGAAGGGGATGGGGGGAAGCAGGGAACGGGATGGAGGGGAGCAGGGAACGGGATGGGCGGAAGCAGGGAATGGTATGGGGGGAAGTAGGGAAGGGGATTGGAAGAAGCAGGAAAGGGGATGGGGGGAAGCAGGGAACGGGATGGGCGGAAGCAGGGAATGAGATGGGGGGGAGCAGGGAAGGGGATGAGGGGAAGCAGGGAATGGGATGGGGGGTACGGGGGCAGATGCCGGGGAGAGAGCTGGGGGGAGGATGGTGGGGAGCAGGGGGAAGAGGGAGAGAGGTAAACAGTGCGATTATTGGTGGGGGGGAAAGGTGTGCGTAGGGGTTGAAAAGGAAGGGTGACAAGTGTGCGCGATAGGAGGGGAGACGGGAGGGATGGCGAGGGCGACGGGGAGAGAAGGAGACGGGGATTGCGACGGGACGAGCGGGAGGAAGGGCGACGAAACGAACGGAAAGGTTACGGGCGGAAGGGAGAGCGGCGTGCGGAAGGGAGAGCGGCGTTTGGAAGGGAGAGCGACGGGCGGAAGGGAGAGCGACGGGCGGAAGTGAGAGCGACGGGCGGAAGGGGATGCGACGAGCGCTAGGGAGTGCGACGGGCGGAAGGGAGGGCGACGAGCCCTATGGAGGGCGACGAGCATAAGGTAGGGCGACGGCGGGAGGGAGGGCGATGGGCGTAAGGGAGTGCGATGGGCGGAAGTGGGTGCGTCGAGAAGTTGGCAAGCGCCCGTTCCTTGCGCTTGGGACGTACTTGTGAGCGTCATCTTCCTATAGAAATGGGCGTTTCACGTGACGTTTTTCTTTATGCTGGCTATTTTTATTTTGGAGAACAACAAACAGGCTGCTGCAAGGATACAGACAGCTCGCTGCCATTGTGAAAATGTGAGCTCACGCGCTCTTGTGGTACTGAATAGCGGAGAAGACTAGGTATATTGTGCCTGAATATGGCTGCCCATCAGTACAACTTGGTTTTCAAGTTTACTGAATGTGAACAGTGGTCGATCTCCAGTTGACACTTCACCTCGAAGCCTTGTTTTGTCGCTGGCCAATCATGCATCAGAGTTGCAAAACCTTTCCTCTGTGAAGCGACGGAATGCTTCACTTCGGGTGGTAACTTGGTTTTTGGCGAGTTCATATTCAAGAATCTTGAATTTGAAAACAGCCATGTGGAAATCGGGCTTTAACCTTGGTGGTCATAGCGTTTGCGTTTCTCCTCGGTGCCTTACCAAGTTCATTCCCTGAGGCTCTCAACGAGTTGTAACGGGAGCGACACTAAGTTTTCACTCCCTCTTTCTCAACCCTCTACATGCTTGATTTTTTTCCGTTTTCTTATGATCTCAGAGGTGCGTGCATACTTAAAGCCCGAGTCCTAAATTGCGAGGCGCGTGGGTCATGCTTTTAAAACTTGACGAAGTGCAGTGTGCAAGCTTTGAAAAGTAGCGCACCTGCAATTTGGGACTTTCGGGTGCTGACACAACCCCCAGGGCGAAATACGTGGGCAGGCTGGGTTTGGCGAAAAAAACGAAATGCCCTAAATCGGAATCACTCGCCAAAACCCAAACCACAAAAAACCCCTCGCGTCATCCTTTTAAAACTTGTGCAATTTGGGCTTCCGGCTTTAAACGAGGACCACTTGGAGGAGATGCGACACAGCATCCACCAATCAGCGGCCGACATGTGGATCGCGGAGGAGCAATTCAAGTCGTGTCTCGAGCAAGCTCTGTCGAATCATCCCTTCGCCACCTCCCATCTCTCTCGTCGTTACGGTGACGCGACAGCCGGGGAGATTATGTCGACTAATGGTGCTACGTTCGTCAATTCCTCGTCTTCCTCATTGACAGCATCACGCAGTGCACGTTCTGCAATTCCTGACAGCAGTAATTTGTCCCGGGAACGAAACAACGGCCTGTGCTCCTTGTTGAACCGGTATCGACGGAAGATCTCGCGGCATTTGTCCTGCTCGTAGAGTGACACTTACGACGCGCAGCATGCAAGATTGCGGAGAGAGGAAAATTCTCCTACTCCAGTCCATTCGAAACGAAAGCTGCAATCACCAGTCCAGCACTCATTGAAAATTAGTTTTGAGGCGCCTCAAAACTCCAGCACGGATTGAACGTCAAAGCGATGCGAGAAAAAGAGTAGCGGGTTCATTGCGTCAATCACTTATCAGGCTCTGTGTCACGAGGATGATTCTTCTTGTTCCGTTACTTGTCGTATGTATATAGCACTTAATGTCTTAGTGTTCTAATCAGTTTGTGCTCACTGTTATTTGTAAGGAAAATACCTTTTCCTTACTTCGCGCCCCTTCTTACCGCGTACAATACCATTCCCGCCATCGGCACCCAACAGTGAAACGTTAACCGCTCGCGACACTCGCCTCGACTACGACTCCCGCCACTGTTCACGATGCGACCCAACCTCACGGTTCGGTTGGTAACCCGCGCTCCGGACCTCCGCCTCGACAGTTCCCAACCTCGGCGCTAGGCTCGTAGCGCACCCCATTTTCTCGTGTTACCGTTACCACGCTAGCTTCGCTATATATTCTTCGCTCATGCCTTCGCTCATTGCATTGTTTTGCTTCGATAGTGCAATTCTCGCTCGCTCGCTCAATTGCACTCGTAACACTTGGTATTCAGAGCCTACGATCTCTTTTCGGACCGCACCTTCACCTTCGCTTCCCCACTATCTCAATCTTTGGAGGGGGTAGACGTCTCTCAGCGTTCAGGCACCGCCGTTCGAAGTGCTCTCTCGAAAGCACGCACGGCCACGACTGAGGCTCTCGCTGAGCTTGCCCAACACCCCCGCCATGGCCGACCTCAATCTCGCGACGTTGACGCAGGAGCATGTCAAGAACGGAATGATAGGTGACGTGAGTGACGAGAGAGTAGAGCGAGAAGAAGGGGTTTCACTATAGCACAGGTGCAAGATATAGCAAGGGAAGGTGGCTAAGGGAGGTACACCACCAAATAGAGAGAAATCTACAGTGATACTACATTAGCTATGTTGTATGCAGTTATATAAAGAATACAATTCTTGACATCCCCCCTTAACTGCATACAAACGTAGCCAGTGAGGGGCGCTCTACCCGTGCAGTCATCACCGTGCCGCAACTTGAAGCACCGTGGTTGAACCCCCACGGCAGGTGCCCGGTTGCGGTTGAAACCCCGCAACGGGTGCCGGTGTGCGCAACGAGGGCGACCACGCCCAGAAACGACGGATAGGAACGAAACGAGAAACGACGAGAAAAAACGTTATCAAACGAGAAAACAAAATAGAAGAAACTCTCTCTCTCTCTCTCTCTCTCTCTCTCTCTCTCTCTCTCTCTCTCTCTCTCTCTCTGTCATCCCCCCTGAACCTCTCTCATCCCCCCTTAACCTCTCTCCTCCCCCCCCCCCCACACAGGAACAAGTGCTGCAGTGGAGAGAGGAAGAGGGAAGGGAGGGACAGGCTGCTGGTGGTTCACACCCGCCACCCCCACATCCCCCCCTCCCCCCCCCAACGACGGAAGCCGCGGAAGGGAGGGCGGGCGGGGGGGGGGGGGGGGGGGGGGGGGGGGGGGGGTTAGCTGCTGCCGGCGCTGGCGCTGGGCGCAGGCGTTGGCGATGGCGCTGGCGCTGGCGCTTGCGCTCCGCGCTGGCGCTGGCGGCAGTCGCTGGCGCTTACGACGGGCAGGGCGACGGGCGTGACGGGCGCGACGAGCGGGGGACTCGACGGGCATGACGGGCAGAGCGCAGGGCGACGACGGAACGGGACGGGCAGGCGCTTCGGGCGCGACCGGGCAGAGCGCGACGGGCATGACGGGACGGGACGGGTAGGCGCCTCAGGCGCGACCGGTGACGGAAAAAAAAAAAAAAAAAAAAAAAAAAAAAAAAAAAAAAAAACAACAACAACAACAATAACAACGCATTTCGCGCTGCAGCGTGGGCGGGCCCATGTTCCTTGAAAGAAAGTAGTAGGTCCCAAGACCGTAGTAGCTCTGAAACCGTGTCAAGAACGGAATGATACTAAGAAGACTAGGTGACGTGAGTGACGAGAGAGTAGAGCGAGAAGAAGGGGTTTCACTATAGCACAGGTACAAGATATAGCAAGGGAAGGTGGCCAAGGGAGGTACACCACCAAATAGAGAGAAATCTACAGTGATACTACACTAGCTATGTTGTATGCAGTTATAAAAATAATACAATTCTTGACAGAGCAACTCGACCGGCTCGTCCGCCAGCTCGAGGATCTGGCGCTCGAAATCGCGACACTCACGGCGGAACGTGACTCCGCCCGCCAGCAATCAACGGTGAATGCACCAGCACCATCACAAGCACCTGCAAATTCACCTGCGCAATCGGAGGAGCCGATTATTATTTCGTCCGGCACACCGTCACAACATGACAGCGTGGGACAGCGCTCAGGCGCAGCCAGTGATGGCGCCGCCCAATCAATGCCTGGCATGGAGAGGAACAGGGCTGTACCAAGCACGAGCGGGCCTCGCGCGGCAACAATCGGCAACAACGACATTGTCGCGCCGATGCCGCTCAAACCGCAGCGCCCGCCCTGCTTCGACCCGAGCCAACGTGGAGGTCCGACGGTTCAATCGTGGGTCTTCACGATGAACGTTTTTTTCGACGCGAATTACGTCGAGTCGGACGCAGCGAAGATCCGATGTTTCGCTGTTTCGCTGATAAGGGACCCCGCCATGGACTGGTGGCGAGTCACCATCACGTCGCCACGCGCCTACGAGCCGCCGTCGCAAGAGGAAGAGCCCACGGTCCAGCCGTCACCTGGAGTTCGTTCTGGGAACTCGCCCAGTACAGCACGTGGGATGCGTGGTGCGCAGGGCTTCGGGCGCGCTTCGAGCCGATCGCGGCTTCTATTTCGGCGCGTAAGAAACTGCGTACTTGGCGACAGCTTGGGTCGGTCCAAGACTACACCAACGGTTTTCTCGCTCTGCGCGAGCAAGTCGGCTACATGCACGAGGCGGAGCGGGTGGACTGTTACGTCGGAGGACTGAAGCCAGACATCTCGCACGAGATTATGCTACGCGGGCTATCAAACTTCAACGAAATCCTCGCGCTCGCGGAGAAAATCGATATCCTACGCCGACCGAGACCTGGGTCCTATTACGGACATCGTCCTCGGGGGCCGACCGAGCACGCCACCGTACACGACGTTGCGGCGAATGCAGCTGCTGCGCCATTCAAGGGGCGCTGCTTTGCTTGCAATAGGCCGGGCCATCGCAAGAGCGAATGCCCAGAGGAGCAGAGACGCCGCGGAGCAGAGCAGGGGAGGGAGTCTCAGAGGCAGGGAAACGCCAGCAGTCGGTAGAAAACGAAGCAACTACTGACGAGACAACCTGCTCGCCCAACCTCACCGACCCTCACCGAGTCACAGTACCGATTCACGCTATCGATCGGGCTCGGATGAGTAAGGAGGGTACAACGACGGATCGCCCAATACTGATCTACGGAAAAATACAGGGGACAGCAGTGAAGATCTTTATAGACGGAGGAGCAAGCCACATCTTAGTTAATACCGCAACTGCACGGAAGCTGCAGCTGACGATTAGCCGTTGTTTACCAGAGATTGATGCACGCTTAGTTGACGGCACGCCACTGGCAATACGGGAAAAAGTGGAGAGGGTGAAAGTTCGCTGCGGGGGGAACTTCGGGTTTACACAGGAAATGCTCGCGACGACACTGGATGGGCATGACATTTTACTGGGACGTGATTGGTTGCGACGCTACAATCCGCGAATCGACTGGACGACGGATAG